GGTTTTTTCTTCAACTTTTCCAATATTGATTCCAGCTATTGGCTGCAGTGGAGCATTAGATTAATATTGCGATTTCTAGTCATCAACGGTTGCATTCACTAAACAAAGGTAAATTTAAATGGCTTGTTCCTGCTTTTCGAACCACTGTGAGCACGAATCAACCCAAACCATAGGTGTATTTGTATTTAAACGATTCACATATCAAATAAGGGTAAGTTTGAATAGACGTATGACTCACACTGTGAAGATGAGGGTTCTCCCGTCATAAATTGGTTGCCCGTTGAATGCGATATGACGCAACCAACGGATCGGATTAAATGTTATTGGCGGATTGGAAGCAGCTCAAAACCTTTTAAAAAACGTGATTGAATTTTAATGTATGATTCGGATGAGTCAGACAGAAATATCTGCATAAAATTCGATAATCAAATGTAGGAAATTCGAGTGAACATAAAGAACTGAAGTCAAATCGCACGCACTAGTCACATGCACAGAGATATGTTAGCATACCATATTTTATTCATTCTTATTTTGAATACAATCGCATAGCCGCCGAAATGTATTCAAATTTATATGAATTTATACTAAATGTCGGATTTTATGACTGTTAAGGCAATGCCATGAGAACTTAAAAGTTTTCCTACTGCACTCCAGATATACATATGTACTTTTCCTTAGTAATCGACGAATAATAGTGGAAAATCAACCAAAAACGTATTTGTAAGATGGATTAAGAACTTCAGCTGAACGTCTAATGGAAATCAGCAATTTATAGAGGGTAATCGGCGGTTTAAATAATTTTTGAATGATTTCTGCATAAGCATCCAATTGAACAAAGCGAAGGCAATTAATCGTTTTCTAATTTGCTGGGCAACAATTACCTGTCGGCCGTAACTCTTTTTAAGGCGAAATCTCAGCAGATACCGAAGAAATGAAATTAGATTAACTAACGCTGGAATATTTTCACGCACACATGTGTCACGATCAAAACAATGAATGAGTCACTGGATTACGTGAATCTAAAAAACATAAACGCTTCTAATGTACCAACTTTTTGACGAACATCACTGCATAAAGTAAACTGGCGCTAAACTTTTTACAGGATGTTTAGAAATTAACACAGAAATGCTTTAATCAGAAAACGACTTACTTTCTAAAGAGAGGCGAATTACTTGAGGGCGAACGGTTGAAGAGTTAACAGCACTCATGATGCCCCGAGATCAACAACGGAATTGAATCAATTACACACATACAGCGAAACCTCTCAATTCTTCGGATATAATTAAAAACGCATCTCGTGGTTTCCTAGAGTAAACACTACATGAAACATTCAATTGAATCGTCGGCATTAGGGTTAGTTTACCCTGTTTAAAACGGTTTGATAGAGGGGAGATGATTCATCCCGACAACTGATGAGATATATTAATGAGATAATTGAATGGTGGAAGTCATTATTGTACATTTCATTATCATGGTACATTGTAATTAACAAAAATGTTCGGCATTTTCATTCAATATGACTCATGTAAATAGCAAAGCTATGAAAATGGTTATCTAGACGGCCACGCTTCTAAGTTGAAACAGTGATTTTGCTGATGCAGTTGCAGAAGACTAAAATTCTGCAAATTTTGCTAGGTTCCTTAAAAATTACTTCAATGTATCCAGACAATGTTTTATCATTGAAATTGGGGAATTCTGGTAACCCCTAAATGTAATTTCAAGTTGGGCGTTTAATTTCAAACCGATTTAAGCAGATATGGTAGGCAAAAGTCTCACTCACATCTTCACAATTACCGACGATAGTGTTGATCGTTCAAAGATGAGTCGGCATGGATGTAAGAAAATAATGGTGAAATAAACAATTTCTATTGTTACATCTATTAAACGTTTAGATCTATTAAACATTCACGCTTATGGATTCCAATAACCCAAGAAGATATCTACTTGAGACACGTTTGAAACTGGTGCTGCACGGATCAGTTGGTTTGTGTCCGTAATTCTTAACCCTACACAACACATTGGAAACCAAACGTTTTTTTTTTAATACAACATCGGTTTGCAATGCATTGACGCAAATGGTTTAATTGATACTTTGCTAATCCATACTGATATTTGATGAGTAAAACATTAAAACATTTGCGCAGCCAATTTTTTCGTAGCCATTTCTTTCTTCCTTTTTAAATGTTATTAACAATTCTTCGTAGAACTTACTTGGGGGTATAGGAAGAATCCTGAGCACCGGATAGGAATTCGGCCTTTTTATCCTCATAGTGGAGAACTAATCCAAAATGTCACTAACCACTGCAAGAACAGTCGGATACTGGCTGAATTATTATTTTTTGTTTCGAAACAAATTGAAAAACTGATGAAAAGTTGACCGACCCGCTTGCGATTACTTATAAGAGTAAATAAATGAAAAACACGCTGAATTAACAGGGTCACTATGGCTGGTGGAGGGGCGAGTGATTCATTCAGAATGTCCGCTAATGTTTATGTTCTGCGTCATATATTTCTCCTCGTCTGAAGGACGTGAAAACGATCCGACACTCCAACTGAACGAACATCAAGCGAATGCGCGGTTGTCGTTCAAGGAAATTCCATGCGGTTTAACGAAAGTCACTTGGTGATAAATCTGGGAAACCGGCAGGCCAACCAAGATTGGCTTCCTTTTGGGCAATTGTAAGCGCCATAAAGAATACGTTTTTGTGACAACTCCGACTGAAGTGCAAAAGCTAACTAATCAGGTGTGCCAACATCGAAGCTCAATGTTTATAGACAGTTTTATGAGTTTTAAAACTGATATGATTCACCTTAGGTGTACAAAATGCGAATCATTAGTCAATTTATGGCGAAAATTTACGTACTCAGAATTCATTAGAAATTCACTTATCCATGCTCACTTAAAAATCAAGGTAAGATCCATGAGGGGGGGGGGGTTATGACCGCCCCCCCTCATGGACATGAGGGGTTTATAATGACTAATGATAATTTTTGTAATTTCATAGACAACAAAAGACTGAATTAGTACTACTTGACCCCCCCCCCTGACTCGAAAGCTGGATCCGCTCCTGGGCCGCAGATTATTTTATCTCAGGTTTTAGGTTGATCACAAGAGCGGATCCAAAGGATGGAAGTCATGACCCCCCCCTTTGTGCTGGGGTTTTAACGACCAACGAGTATTTTTCTAATTTCATGGACAACAGAAGACTAAATTTCTTTTGACTTTGAATTGACTCGAAAGCTGGATCCGCTTCTGGTTGATCATCAGTCACCTCACAAGTTGTGTTTGCATGTGCAACTTCTTTGGAAACAATATCCCTTATTCGTCAAACCGCTACACCGTGAATTTCAAGTAAATTTGATGAATCAGATCCAGTATAAAAGGATCCATGATCCATCTTAGTAAGATAGAAATGGGCAGGATTTTAATTCTTGGAGAAACATGACCTCAAGACGTAAAACTTCGAGCTTAATAACAATAATAAGAAGAAATTCTGTTGATAGCTAATGTTAATAACATATATTTTATGTTTGTTTATACAGTTTCCATGACGCAAATTTCAAGAAGCAGCTAGAACTTGATGTTGGTTTTTTCCGATAGAACAGTGAAATGTTTATCAATAAAACAAAGTAGATACCTATATTGTTGCTACATGTTCTATGTATCGCAAGTAATTAGAAAGATTAGATAAACATTGATGGATTGTACCTATTTATGATTATTACATTTTATTTCATAGCCTCTTTTTTTTGTTTCCGTGCATGACTCACAGCACCATCACCTAGAATTTTAATGGCAGAACTTTATGTGCCGTAGAAACTAAGTACCCACATCATGCATATCAGTGTTTTTATCAAAAGGTAAAAGGCCTGTTATCTACCAATATGGGCCAAGGCGAGTATCATGTCCCGTACTTAATCAACAGATTATTCAAAACCCCCATTTACTATCGTGGAAACACTATCTATCTTTAGTTCTGGAACTATAAAATTGTTCCGTTAAAGTTGGCATAAATAGACGGTTTTTTTCATATGATGATATTCAAATTTAGATCACCTCTGTATCTTGACACAAACAAAAGGAAAATTTTACAAACGAATTAGATCGTTGATATTGGATCTTAAATAAACGCAGTTTATATTTTGAAATTAGTTACCCTATAAGACTGTAAGAAACTATCCGGTTTTCTCAGGCTGAAACTGAAATTTATAACAATCAAAAAAAATAAAACAAAGAAATAGGTATAATCAGAAAATTGCATTAAAATACGTAGTAGAACATTTATTAATCACTACGAGAACCCCAAGCGAATCTGCGTCAACAATAAAACATTCCAAGAAGAAATTACCTAATACAAAAAAAATGCAATGGAAACGAATATTACCATGCTTTGTATTGTAAACATCAACACATGCAATTACTAATAGTCTTAATGATCTCATTTGATATGAATACGATCCAGATCGCTTTGCCTCAATGAAATTTGCAGTCATTAACTAGATTACTCCCGTATTAGATGATAGAAAAGGGGTAAGCGGTAAAGTAAGTTGAGTCCCGAATTAACCACAATTGGTTTTGGTGTGTACTAGTAAAGTGTGAGCCGCATACATTATTATTATTATTATTACTAGTACTCATTTTATCGGGCTTTGCCATTATCGGGCAAAAGCCATTGAAACATTTCGAATAATATCATTCATATAAATAGCAAGCAAGTAGCGTTTTGGTTGATATCGATATTTTTGAAGTTGTTTGATTATCGCTGAACACAGTGTTTTTCAAGCTACTTAAGACGTCAAGCATATTATTTCGGGATGATAAGCAGAAAATATGAATGTTTCTCTGAAAACAAAGCATACATATCTCAGAAATATCAACCAGAACAACGCCATTCCGAATTACAACGTAACTACCTTCGATAGGAGCCCTGGTCCCTTGTAGATTTGTATTACGCTGGAAATTTGACTAGCTAAATGTTCATAAAGTTTTTCCCGCTTGATCATAAATAGCTTCTGATTCATGTACTGACCCTGGTTGAAGTATTCAACGCGAGACCGGCCGTTTCCAATGATGATGAATAAAACAAAAATAATTTAATTTTTCTGAAATGGTCAAAAACTGCTATGTATTTGTCCACGACATGATTTGGACGCGTTCCAAAGAGATTGACTTGAAATTTTTTGTTTACGAAAGAAGGTGACTAATAATATATAAATGTGCCTTAATATAGACGCAGTCTGAGACAATTTTTTTTGGCTGGCCCTCTGCGGGTATAAATATTTTAATTTGACTAAGAGTGAAAATCACATTTTTATGAAAACCACTGATTCTGCAGCAATTTGATTAATATTCGCGTTGTAAATCTAGTATTCTACATTTTCACTTTCGTATCATTGAACTAAATCATTCTATTTACCCGTGGCGTTATTTGGCTTATTTAAATTAATTTGTACAATCATAGAAGTACATTCAGATAAGAATGTACCTACCTTAAAAAAAATTTCTATAAGATTTTAATTTGAAACAATTAGTTGAATCTCTGGACAATTGAGTCACTTATTTATGGACAAATTGGTAAAGCTGATTAATTTTCTTTAGAAAACAGACGGCCCATCTGAAGCTCAATATGGTGTAAAAACCAGCAAAGTATCATATATGGAATAATTGCACTGAGTCATCGCACTTATTTCATCGTTTTCCATTCTTACAATTATGCAAAAGAATTTGCTTTTGTTTAAATTCACGTCATCGCATGAGTAATTTTTTCGTATATCTGTATTAATGCCTCCTTGACTTTTTTTACCCATCAACAACAAATTTATATCTTACAAACATTACACTGCTTTAATTTCTGCATAATGTATATATATTTTAAATTGTATTTAGTTCATTAAATTATCATGCTTTAGCTACATGTATTTCCAAGATACCAATTGTGCAAACATTTTATTTAGTAACCAAAAAGACGGGAAAAAAATCGTTAGAAATTACTTGCACAGTGCAGTTACATATAGATTTTTAAGTAAGAACTGCTGCTGACTAACAATTAATGATACTTATTTATCGACAATTGCTCATAGTATTGATTGTACAAAAATAATTCCTCTTTCAAAAGTGGAAAAAATGTCGATTATTTCCTAATCATCTTATCGGCAACATTTGAAAATGTCGCTTTACTAAGATTTGAGAAAGGCTGAGAATTTGGCAATATTATTAATAATCTTTATCAAATCTTTTGATAATAGTATATAAAATTGCACCATAGATATGAATTAAGTGATATGTAAAACTTTCGTAAAGTTGCAACACCTGAATAGAGACTTGTTCTGGATCTGGATATGAAATTTTCCTTGCACTTGCTTTCAGGATATAGGGGATTTATAGAAATATTTATTTATTCAGTTACTGAGTTCGAGCGGAGAGCGATATCCGTATTACCAATATGGAAAATCCTGAATTTAAATCATAAGTAGAAAAACAAATTCAAGTTTTATGTGATAATATTTAATTTGCAGCAAATTGCGACAGCAGAAGGCAAATATAACACAGAGGGAACAGAGAAAAATGATGCACCGAGGAGGAGAAAACGTAGGTATTTTTGTTGTCACATTCAATACCTACGTTCCATTCGGAAATCAAACAACTTAATAATGAATTGATGCAGTTTAGACTTGTTTCGGTCGAATTAAGCAAGGTAATGTAAATTAGACATAAACATGGATGTTAATATATTATGTATCCATACTATGACTCACGGAACGCAATTATGAAAGCAATATTCTAAACTTTATAACAAATGAAGGTTACACTTCGATTTTTAATAGCCGATAAAATTTTAAATTGAGGGACCTGCATTGTAAAATTTATTTGGGCGGCACTGCGACTAGCCTACCTAACGGATGACCTTTCCAAGAATTTCTTCCGATTAACGCTGAAGAAAGTGCAAGAAGGAGATAAGGAATCTTATACAGAAAGAGTAAGAGAACACAAAGAGTGTAACCCGAAATCATCATTTCTATTCTCGCTTGCAACAGACTTCGAGCATTGTTGATTTGCTTGTTAGAGAACCCAGTGACAATTTCAATATTTTAATAGATCACAAATATTTGGTCCAGTGTTGCTTTACATATTAAATCTACATACATTGTCAGAAACTGGTCTTGATGATATAATTGCTGAGAAAAACTCTTTTTGGATCTTAGCTGGACATTCCAAAAAGCAGCTAAAAATATTTTCAAAATAGTTTTTAAGTGTGGGTTGAAAATGCGTAGTAAACGGTATGTTTATTTTTATAATTGACTATTTCAGTCAAATGGCCATGCCCTAATGATCCAAAGTTGATAACAAATTTCGAACTTTTTACATTCTATCTACATTTTATCATCGTAAATTCAGTTATGCATGCTGATTTTTTATTTGGTAAATAACTTGTTTGCAAGCTACATATGTGTTTTGTAGCGAAGTTCTATCTAGAATGATGCGAATTTTATAGGATAATTTCAAATTGGCGTCATTTCTATGGCGAAGTTATAGGGGCTCCGAAAAAAGTCCGGGAAAAATATTGTGAAATGATTAGTAAATAATGCAAATATGTATACGTATATTTTTCAGAAAACATTGGTTGAAAAATGTAAGCCAAAAAAAGAAATAGAAGAACTAGTTAAATAGTTATGTGAAGTCAAAGGATTTTTTCCATGGACTTCGCAAAGTGACATCAGCCTCAAAAGTTACGCTTCTGCAATAAAACCACTGAGGTGGTCGCGGTCATCGTAATGTCACAGCCGTATCACAAATAATTTGTAAACATTCTAGAGATGATTTGATGCTAAATAAATATTAACATTTAAGGCAAGGTTTATTTGCCTGTGCAAGATAATATTCTTAGTAAATACATGTAATCAACGTCTTTACATTGCAGAGACTTGTCATGCTGCCAAAATCGCAATTCCATGTAGTATAATAAAAATAGGTAAATGAAACTTACCAATTAACAGTGATGGTTCCTTCTGGTCCTCCACTAGAGAAACCATGACCAAAAGTAAGGGATGTCCCAGAGTTATCCTGTCTTTTCCGGTGGTGGAATCATCGTAAATAATGACCTCCTTGAAGGAACGTTTCTTGAGCACCTCTTTGCCTTCTCTGGTGGTGGCAAGATCAGCAAGACTGACTTTCCCTTGTTGCAGCCTTCTTCTATTAAACCGATCCGAACAGTTCAGGTTGATTGCGCCACTGATATGATTCATGTTGTAGCTCATGAAGGGTCGGCAGTCTAGAAGGATGAAGTTTTTTCCAGGTCTGTGGTCCTCGAGCTTAGCCTTAAGCGCTTCAGGTTCCAGAGTTTTAACATTGTTAAGAACATGAAGGCGTTGCACTGTCGCTGATTCTGCACAGGGACTCGTGGGTAAGCTGATGCTGTTTTGGGGCTCCAGTTTGGATCTTTTCGTAGGGTGTAGATGACTGAGGGGGGTAGGCGGGCCTGGTTCACTAAAGCTTCTGTTCAGAGGAAGCTTTAAGCCGTTTCTCGATCGACTGCTGTCGAGGCACACCGACATCTCGACAGTGACGTTCGTAGAACGTCACAGGCTAATTCGGGAAGACCTGAGAAGAAAGGATGCTGTTGTACTGGTTTTAGTGCCAGATTTTCACACTTTTCAGATTATTCCACGAGCAGCACTTTTGTGTAGGCTTTTGGTTTGCAAAACAACTACATGGTTACATGGATTTACATTATAGTGACATGCATTTTGCTCAGAAACAAGAACAATGTTGTGAGAAACAGCCTTGTACATTTTTGTTTTCATTTGTAATTGGTTGTAGATTGAGTAGATGTTATTTCAAGAACATTGATATGATAATTGAACACAAATAATTTAATTAACACGCCCAGGAGACTGAAATGCCGATTAGAAAACATACCTACCGATTTCCTTTAATTCGCGATCATTTGCTTCATCGCAACTTAATTTTTCGATCGCTCAGAAATTGTGTTTTACTTACAAATAATGATGGCACACGCACTCAACAGGATAAGCAAATTTGAATTATCGGTTCTAATCAGTGACACTCACACTAGACACTGAAAGAGAAATTTGCACTGGCCGAACAGAAGCAATGAGTGAGTGATGATGACACAACATTTGCTTAATAGTTTGGAAATAGCTTATTTGTTTGGAAAAAATTGACACAAATATAAATATAATGCAATCGGTGCAGTGCAGGTAGCAGTTTGTCTTAAGCAAGCAATTTTCATTCACAAAACAATTTTTGCTTTCAAATGAAAGCAAATTGCTTATCCTTAATCATTTCAGCACTGATATGCGTCATCATTTTATGTAAGCAAACAATAGGCATGCTAATAATACAAGTGGACAGACGGGTATTCAATATAAAAGTGAAGTAGGTAGGTGCCTACGAAAGAAAAAATGTAGGCATCAAAGGCTCCAAATGTGTGAAACATTTCCATTCTCTACTTTCACATTTCCATTGTAGCATGCTCGAAAGCAACAATTTTCATTTTCTGATTTGCAAAACTTTTAACGCTTGTAGGTATTTACTAGTTCTAAGCTTAAATCAACAGCATAATATTAAAGATAATGAATTAGCATAGAATATGATGGATAATTATGAAAATAAATATTGGGTTTTATAATGATGGATTACACTTGCTCATCATGGAACTTGCTGAATAATAGCAGGCACGAATAGGAACGCAAACAGACGTAGGCAGATGGCGTTTTGGAATCTTTTTTGAAAAACGTTTTTCACATGCATTTACAAACGTGTTCATGTAATCAGATTATGTATAGACATTTCAGCGGTACACGGAAATAATTCGAATTAGAACAGATTTAGATGTTCGAACACCACATCAAATTGTAAGCGATAACTAATACTAAGTCTTACCAATGAATTGGTGCTCAGAATCGAAAACCCGTATTAAAAAACAATCAATCCATGTTATCAAAAACGATCACTCGTAGAAAAGATGAACAACTTGTGAAGAACACTCAACACAAAACATAAAAAACTAAAGCATGTTCCAGTTTAATTATTCACAGTGCCACCGAATGAGAAAATTAATGTCGGATTCCCGATGTCGAACTCGAAAACTGATCGACTGCCTTCCAAATTCTGAAGCAGCATAATAACCCAAGAACTTGTCCTCGCACTCCTCGCACTTCTCTCGCATGTACGGTATGCCGATTGCCGAGTGCTGAGTGAGAATCGAAATGAGTCATCCAAACACAAACCATTCATTTCTCATTTCAGCCTGCAATGTTTGCTTCAACCGCATTGGCCGGATTGGCCCGTTTAGTTCGAGAGGTTTTTTATGTTAGCACGCAAGATCGGCAACATTGTCGATGACTAATCCCATGCCATGTTGTCGCTTTGCTTCAAATGCTATGTTTTTCTAACCGATTAAAGCAGGAGTTATATTTATCAATGTTTTTGCATAAAAGCTTTACTTATATTTATGATTGCATGTTTTTCATTTCGAGGCATAGATGTATCCATTGATCAATTTCTTCAACTCTATCTTTGGCTTTCTGGTTTAAATCAGATTCCATTTTCAGCTGATAAAATCGGAGAACATTTTCTTGAACCTTGTCAATGTGTCAATCATCCCTTCCCTGGAGGGATATTATCTGGTATTCAGCGTTCAGTAAGCTATGGAAGCGTCACCATAGTAACGTGTTAAGCCCGTGTCCCATGCATCCGTTTGTACGATGATACGACGATCCGAAAGTGTTTCTATTGGTTGGAGATCTGTCAATTCGTCCGTCGTCGTACAAATTGACAGATCTCCAACCAATAGAAAGGAGATCTGTCAATTCGTCCGTCGTCGTACGAACTGACAGATCTCCAATCAAGAGAACACTTCCGTATCATCCTAACATGGGCTTTAGTTAAATAGCTTTTCAGTTTCAAACAACATTCGCCATCTGATATCCACTTCTCTTCAAATTTAAGAATAAAGGAGCCGAAGATAATAAAAAAATTGTTGCTTTAATAATATAATGTCATAAAAGTATAGCATAGTAACAATTTATAAAATATATATATAACATAACCAATTTAGTCCGAGCCTACATTGTAAAATTTGCTTTCAATAAATGTAACAGAAAAGTTTACTTCAGCAATAATTGAAAATTCTTGTACAGATAACCTTTTAAGGTGGCAATAGTGGAGCGAAGGGAATAACAAACGGGATCAGACAGCAATTGCATCAGTAAATACATATTCCCAGTCTACTGGTAGTCGATTACCATTCCGCGTCACCATTTGCCTTTTGAAACACATAGTCTTCGCCATTTAAGTTCATTATGCCGTCTTTCAAATGGAATTTCCATCGGTTTCTGGCCCGTGTTATCTGCAAGCAGTAACTTTCTAATTAAAGTTAACCATAAGACACCTATTGGATACGAAAATATACCTTATCAAATTGACAAACTATGACATTATCTGTTTCAAATGACTCCTCAGTGCCGTCGGCATCAGACACATCGTCTTCCGAGTTCAGTGGTTCATCTTCAGCAACTTCCTGAGTTTCTTCCTCGATATCTTCGTGAAGATCATCGTCATCTTCATGGTTGATCTCATCATCTTCATCATCGAGATCGTCGTCATCTGATGAACTGTGCATGCCGTCTCCCTGATATATCTTGTGTAACATATTTGTGCTAATATTTGATTTATACAGAAATGTTGTTGGAGTGGTCTTGTTGCACGTTTTATGTCTTCCTATATTAGGGGATATTTCGATTTCTGGCTTTGGAACTAATTCTGCGATCAGCGGCAGCTGTCCAAATATTCTACAATTCCATCTGTGTTTCTTTGATCTGAACAGTTCATTCGTACGACGCTTGTAACCCCCTATTTGTTCTTTATCTATATAATTGATGATAGGTTCTTCGGTACAACCATCGGTTTGAACAATTGAAGGCGTTACGTTCATATTGATATTAACAAAATTTGTAGACTGTTGGTGTTTCAAAAATGCATTGTTTACTTGATCTTGCAAGAAAGTAGTTGCCGCTTCTAGGGGTAAATTCAAAGTAGCGCTGATAATGGGGCCAGTTAAAATAGACTTTAGGTGATGACCTGAAAGGCATAAACACTTAAAACACATCCGTTATATCAGCTAACTGAAACAAATCAGTCTAGAAATGTGATATTTACCTTGCAAGAATACTTCTGGCACCTCAATTCCCAGAACCCTTTGTTCTCCGGTAGCACAACCAGGAGAGGATGGGATAGTTAACTGAACCGGTACTCTTCTCCATTCGGGAAAGGCGATACCTTGGGGTATGTGATTGTTAGGCGGTACTTGCCCAACCAACTGCTTAGCTTGATTCTGTTGTTGTACTATCTGATTCAGATAATTCTGTTGCTGTTGCTGAAGTTTCTGAGCTTTATTGTGCACTGATTAACAAACACGCCACTATTATATACATCAATATAATTCACATTTTATCGACTTACCAATGAGTTTGTCGACTTCTCTGACTTCCTCTACTGCTTTACTTGCTGCCAACTTCGTCTCCCATAGGGATTTGAGCTCTTGAAGAACAGCCTCGTCGAGCCCGTCTTCTAAGCAGTTATCTCGCACGTTTTGAATCACGTCGACAATTACATCTTGATATGTCTTAAACTGATGTTTTAATTTATTCGACAGATTAAATTCACTAATCAATATACATATCTGGATTTAAATAGGTGTTGTTGCTTGCATTTGCAAATAAACGCTGAAAATCAAAGAAACTAGAATTTTGACCAGTTTTTTCTTATAATTTCATTATCCCCAGTCACCCGAACTTTGTTCAGAACTGTTGAGATCCCAAAATTTACAAAGCGTTGAATCAAGTATACGTAGCTGATATTAAAACAGAAAACTTTGTTTTCATAATTGGGCGGATTCACAAAACTTCTGACAAATTTACGGCATTCTGCTTAACACATTATCAATTAAATGTTGAGATAAGAATTCTCAATATCCCTGCATTGGTCATGATAAAGTAATGTTCCGTAATAATTGAGGAAAATTTCCTCTTGAAATCGCTTAAACTGTACAGAATGCCATATCAAAGTGAAATTTAACGTTTTATTTCGATAATACCTAAATCCCCTTTTAAAGAAACTGATTTGGTGCGAAAACAAATTTCTAATTCCCCCAGCAGGTGGAGTATAAACTAAACTATAATTGGCTCGAGAGGAAACAATCTAGAGCTAAAGCATTTAAATTTAGGCGTTAAACTAGTAAAAAGCTCTGCACCACCATTCACCGATTGTAACTGAGGGCGCAAAAGAGATGTTGAAAAAAAAAAGAGAATTACTACAAAACAAGTTCAAGTTCGAGTGCTTTTTTAACAATACATTTCAGCATTGCCTAACAAATAATAGCCACCAATAAAGTTTAATTTGTTTTTTTTCCACCCGATTCAAGGTTTATAAATATGCAATCATTTACCATTTGGTAAGACTAATGCAACATTTTTAACACGACGAAATCTTTACGATTTCTATATAATTTGTAAGTATGCCAATGTTTGAAGCGTCCAAATATCAAGTAAAACTAAAACGAAAAGTTGATTTTTTGTATAAAGAATCAATTTTAATTTTTGAATAGCGGTTCCGCAGGTCGATGACAAACGGTTCGATTGTCAGTATATGTAGGTATATGCTGAGAAGTTGTTGGCAAAGAAAGTTCACTATGAAAGAATCCACTATTAAATAAGTGAAATTTATAAATAATAGATGCAGAAAAAAATAAAAACGCGAAGGTCAAACAATTGTTACGGATCCACTGAGGAGCGCAAGCGTCTTTAAGTCAGGTAAGTGAACAAGAATGTTTACTAAAAGGAAATTTGTACTTACCACTGAAGATTTACACAATGAATTGGACATTTTTCTTATTCTCAGTCCGTTCAAATTCCGGTTGTTCTAATTAGTTGTGAACTTTCTCTCGGCACAATCCATTAAACTGTCTGAACGGTGGACAGTGGGTGCTCGCCAACACGTCCTCTTCCACCAACTTGTTGGAGAACTCTGTGACAGGGACTGATCACTGAACCGCTTTACGCAAAACTGCTTTTGATGACGTGCTTGCTACAGGTAGTCTTTTGAATTTATGCTTAGTTACACAAGCCCCATTGTTTTTACAAGAATGGACACGATTGTTTCTTGACCATTTAACCGTATTCATCATGCTCGACAATTTCCTATTTTTACCTCATTTGCTTTCGATCTAGCATCGCCCCAGCCATGGAGACCTGAGCTTTTAAGTCTCTACTCCGAAGCAGGTTAATATTATTCTCATAACAATCAGCTACCTACTAAATATTGTGTACTTTAGAAGCGGCAAAACCTCGAATTGTTTCGCACTGTTTGGGTTTAGCGACAATTCCCGAAATAATTCGTTTAAACCGTAAAAATCCTCAACAGTATCAAATATTGTCTGTTACTAATTGCAACGGTTTTTTTGTAATTAAAAGGCTTTTTAAAAACTTTATTGAGGAAAATTCTTAACATAAAATAATAAAAAAATAGTGTCTCACACAAACTTGAAATAAATTTGAAACTAGAATCTATCGCAGGCATATTTCAAGTTTCATAAGAAAACTAACATACTAAAGAACAAAACGTAGACTTAATTATTGATCTTATCACTTGAATTATTTGATGCCCAAAATCAGAAACACTATTTATAGTAACCCGAAAACATTTTCGTTTAGTACAAAATCCCTTATTCTAATAACTTTTATATTAATGCGAAGCCGAGCTTGTAAGATCCAAGAAGTCATCTCTCATTTCCGGCTTTTGCTTGGGTGGTTCTGGATTAGAGGTTGCTTCTTTTTCCATTTTTGGCGCTTTAGTTTTTGGAATTTTCGTATTGGTTCTTGGAGCTTGCTGTTTGACTCTGGGAGCGTGTTTGTTGCCGCTCGTTGCTTGCGGTTTGAATCCTGAAAATTGCCTATAGCTTCTTGGACCCTGCCTTTTAATTATTTGAGCTTGTTCGATATTCCTGGGCTGCCAGTCGAGCTTTGGAGTTTGTAATTTGATTATTTCAGGATCATCCTTCGTTCGCGGATCTTGTCCTTTGATTCTTCGAGCTGACATGTAGCTTGTTGAAGCTTGCCATGCGCTTTTGACTCTGTGATTTTGATCGTCGCTTGTTGAAAGTTGATTGTTGTTCATTCTTTGTGCTTGAAATTTTGAATTGTGCACAAACCTCACATTAAAATGTGGATTGGCTTTTGTGGGTTCAATGATAAATCTGTTTATGTCTTTAGTGGTTAACTGTCTGCCAGAGTAGTTTTGCCTCGCAAGCGGCGAGATTCCATCAAGTGGAGGATTCAAAATATCTGTTTTGAGCGGGTTTACACTCCTGGGTTGATTTTGGGAAGTGCTCACTTCATCATTTGCATTTCTCATAGCAAGATTTTGAGAATTCAATTTTGAAGATATTGCCTGCGTAGAAGCTTGAATCTCTAAAATATTCTTATTTTGTGATTTCCGATATTTTGGCATAATTGCCCGTTTCTTTAGAACCTTTGATCCACCAGCGTCCTCTAGAGTATCTGTTGGTGGGCGAACTGAGTCACTTCCTCTGTGCTTGTGAGGATTAATGGTGTTGGAAGTATACGCATTTTGTTGAGTGAAAGCATTAGCAGCTTCAGCAGACCGGCTAGTTTGCAACTGTTGCGGATACGATTTTATTTTGGAGTCCTGCTTCCGACGCGCCTTCTTCACATCTCTGATGGATTGGTAGAATATCAGGATTATGGCCGCGATGACTAAAGTGCCTAATCCTATGGAGCACCATGAAACCTGAAAATGTATTATTATCAGTGGCGAATCCAGGATCTTGATGAGGCCATAAAAAAGTTACGGCATTAACGTGTTTTTGAAAAACTTAGTTTATAAATTTACAGAATTATAAAATGTTATTATTAAAGTGAATTCAGAATGCTTTTATGGGCATGAACCATCTGTTTGGGAGAAATTGTAAATAAACTTCGGCTTTTAACTGGCGCGGTAGCACCAATCGGAAGCAGAAACATTCATGTAGCGATTTCAGTTGATCTATCGAGACACTTGAGGCTAAAGATTTGAAAGTTTTGCTGGGTTTTGACTCAAAATAGATGTTTAAGCCCAACTGGGCTCTAATTAAAAAAAGCTTTATTGTTTTAAGTTTTAAAACTCCCGATTCTCGATAAGTCAGGTGATCTTGGTGAACTGCTATTGTTCCACCTCGTCCAATTTATTGTTTTCCAATTAATTCATGTAACATTCGAGTGAGTGAAGATGAGATTCTTCAATTATGGCCATAAATCGGCTGTTTACGAGAAATTCTGAATAAATTCAAATTGTTATTAAAACCACTAAACGGTAAAAAATCGCAATGTGTTTGGTTGTGTTAATCGGTGTAGGATCGCATTGAGTTAATACCAGAAAATGAAGGAATTATTATATTACGAGTTAAGATTGAAGGAAGTTAGAAAATCAGAACTCGACAAAAAATGCAGACTCAATTGAATGCAATGAAGTTTTATTAATTAGCCTTCACTACCATAACGAACATAAACAATTCAATTTATTGCGATTTCTGGGTACCTATTAGCGATAAGCTCGCAAGAAATGCGCCTGGCCATTGCAGGAAGTACTAATTCTGAGGTGGTAACAAATTGCTATTTTTCTATTTCAAATGTTCAAAAGGTAGGAAAATTGTACGAATGTAATGTTTTATCATTGATTGCCACCTTTTTGAATCAGGTTTAATTGTGAAAAATGATAAGATTATAATGTTATCTATCATTAAACTTTCTTTTTTCCCTGAAATATTTCATTGTTTTCGTTCCGGTAAAATATTGCACGTATATATAAAAATATGAAAAAACTTACCCCATTTTTGCCAAAAAAGGTCTTCTTTTCGGGGTTCCATATCAGCTGTTGGATCGCCTGCATAGTATCGTTCAAGGAGTTCATCACTGTAACAACACTATCTGATGCACGCCTCGAACAGAATAGTGTCTGCAAACTTGACCACTACCTGTATACCAATTCTAGATAAAATGAGCGACATGCCCATGTATATGCAAAATATTGAATTGTGATTGGTCAATTCGAATGGTGCACTGCTAATACACAACCTGATTGGTGACTCTGATTGAACATTTTTTTATGGTGCCAAAGTCCGTCGAAGATAGGGGTTTTAAGCTAGCGCTTCAATAAAAGCGCTAACACTTAGTCATATTAAAAAACGAATTTACACTGGTGAAGTACATTTATAATAGCATTTATTTGTCTTTCTACAAAAGTTTTTTTGGAACCAAGTCTATATATAAAACATACAAAACATACTAATGGCTAATTCAATAGTACAATTTTAAACTAGTGCACAGAGGAAAATGAAACATGATGAAAGTAGATGTTGTTGTACACAAATTGATAATATTTTATAAATCAAATTTTCAAAATACTATTGAATGTTTGGCGAGCGAGTGTAAAGTAGCAAGTAGCATTAGGTGAGATTGAAGATTTGATGCAGATAATTACAACTCTTCGTGATAGCGGGCATTCCGCTTCCAAATAGCCCAAAACAAGTTGTAAAACGCATATATACTAACGACTAAAATTGTCAATAGGGTGAGCCCAAATACGTACCCTATTACATTTGCATCGACAAAATAAGAATAATTTCTGCCAATCTTACTGGCAAAATTTTTAGATTTACTTCTGTTTGCCATCAGGTTCTTCATCCTTCTCAAGCGTTCTCGTAACTCATCTACGGATTCTGAACTCAATTCTTCTTCCCCTCCTCCATCTGGAAATTGTCCATAACCAGAGTTGCCTAATAAATGTACAGCTTCTTCTGATGTTTGGATATGTCTACGTCTCTGTGGATTTTGACTCGTACGCTCCCCACTTAGATTGTCTCGAACATTTTGAAAATCTGAAGAAGCTAATGCTTTGTTTGAATTTGCTGTTAAAGAAAGAATCATATAGAGAAAGACAACAATAAATCGAATATATGTCAGTGCGGTGTAGTACTGGCACGCAATTCAATGATCAAAGCTTGCCCATCTTACACCCCTTTAATTATTCACGTAAATAAAAATCCACAGCTTGGGGGTGAATGGTAATAAAGGGCGCTCTGTTGAGTGCGAAAAGCTTTGTATTTAAACGAAAATGGCCCATCATTTATGATGATATGCCTAAGCTTGAGCTCGTTTCTCTCATTTCAACATTTTAGCAAGGAAGAAAATATAGAATTAATACTTCGTACTGATTAAGTTAATACTAAGGCGCCATTCTGCATCATTTTATTTGAAAAATTTAAATTAAATAGACAATAAAAGTAAATAAACGGCACTGTTATAAAATGGAAACTGATGTATATGTATATATGTTTTATTAGGAGAGATTAGTGCTTACATGTATCCGATAAATGATTCGAATGTTGCATTTTTTTGTACGATGCGAATTGAAGAGCGACACGGAGGTATTACGAAACTATTGATTATGACCCCGCAACTGGACCAAAATGCAGACAACTGGAGAGATGAATCCACCCTCCAGGCGGTAGAAAATCCTGCGCAGTTTCCAAAATCACAAGTTTTCACTAATCCCAGACAGTTCTGGTCTCGTTTAGTTTGAAAACCCAAAACTGCAAACATTAGAATTTCTCGCTGTGAGCCAAGTGAACCTAGTTTTCAAAATTTTTACGCTATTCGTAAACGCTCTTTGCTGTAAGTTGTCTATCATCATTGCTATCCATTTTCTGCACATATTTGTTGTTTTTCCTGATTGTTATTGGTATAGCAACCTGGCTCCATTATGTCTAAATGTTCCACTGTAATCATGTTCGCTGTATTTAGGATGTATGTTCTGTAGTGCAACATTTAGCTTATTCATGTCGAAATCGCGAAATTTTTAGCGCATTGGCAGACGTCGGGATCGGGGATGCGATCGATGGAATTAATGTTAGGTGATGAGGAATGCATTTTGATTTCGCTTGACCAAATTTGCCAAAATTATGGCTCATCGACGAATTAACCGGTTGTTTTCGTCTGATACATGTAAGTGATTCCTAGCTAAATTGTAGATAGACAACTCGAACGATCGTGAGTGATATCCAAATGCTTTTCGTATCGATTTTGTTTTCAAAATTAACTCGCTGTGCCCTAAATACACGTGTTTTGTCCCTCTGTTCTTGTAGATTCTTTCAATTAGCCCTTATTTTTCAACACTACCTATTGACCTGATTATGGGATAAATGAGGCTGCCCCCATGTTGAAGATACCTGCACGTTTTAAGCAATGTGACCTCAGTGTTTCCCTAGCGTTTGATTATTGTGACTGCATTGTCAACATGGGTACAAAAGCTGCTGCATGTAAGCGACTTTTTCCTTTCTTCATCATATCAAAACACCGATGTTAATTCAAATTTAGTCCTCGAAACCGACGAAACTTCAACAAAATCAAACGAAAGCAAAATATGCTGAAATCTCTGAAATCGCCGAAATCGCCGAAAGGCATGTATGTACCCGGGGTCGCATTTTTATAGCTTATTAAACATCAGTGCTTTGAATCCTATCATATATGTGGCTTAATCAAAGCCGTTAAGTGTTGTATTTAGCTGAACAAATTTGCAGAAGTCATGTCACTAAGCATTACTGTTGGTGTTATCAGTAAAATTAATTGAAGTCATTTAGTTAGTTCCCAATCATTCTATTTCAACGCTCATAATAGATAGGTATGTGTTTTATCGTTACAATACGTTAAGCAATGCTTGATATCAGTGTAACATAAAACTTATTTTTTTTCATTGGTTTCCTTTCACTTGGTAGCACTTTGATGATTATGCGTTAATTGTTCTGTGCTTATTTTCATACAGGGTTATTCAAAATTGGCGTTATTCCTCTGGAGGTTCTTTGGGAGGGCAGAAAAGCTCTGTTATCATTGAATGACTTTTTTGGTCCATCTCTCGCGACATGGCCCGTTCATCGACTTTTACATACGTGGTAGGAATGTATTTTTGCTTTGATATTTAATTGGTGCCTGATGCCTGGAAAAGTGTCAGTTGTTGTGCAATGTTCTGACTACCCCTGGAAGGCTACAATTACTTACAAGTTCTTACAGCTTTTGCTAAGTTAAAGTGGCATTCCCCAATAACTCATAGCATATCGGCATATTCGATATTGGATTACATTTTGTGAAAGAAGCTTCAAAGTAAGTCACAATTTGACAAATATCCGTTATTTTTGACAAAAGCTATCTAGGCTGTAACCACCTGATAATGACAAAAAACATCATTGCCCTTTTGACTTTTTATCAAAAAATTGCAGAAGAGAACTTTTTAGTATAAAAAATGTTCGCAATTTGAAGCAATTCAATAATTGAAAGCATTCGAAAAGAAAAATTGTGCTTTTTGCTTCAAATTACAAACATTTTTAATATTAAAAAGTTCTCTCCTATCTAGCCTATTGAGGCTACCAATCAAATATCGAACCATTTAAGAATAATGCTTAATAAGAAAGTTGACATTCGATTTTCAATTGTTAATATTTTCTAGAAATTTTCGAAAAAATGTTTTCAACATTTTTCTCGTTCTCTCCAAGTGAGCCTCCATCATCCCTTATTACCCTTAAAAGGCACGACACCAATTTTGAATCCCCCCCGTATAAGTATTAGTAAATTGCGAATAAATTATGGCCAGATTATCAGAAAACCGGTGAAAAATACCTAAGTTGATGACAAAAATGTTGAGCGCAATTTACTTTTTAGCTAGTTATCTTTACAGGACATCTAGGAAATAATATATTATTCAGTTACAGCTAAGCTCCGTAGTCTCTATGATTACCAACTCAAGCTTGTACAGGGTATTGTTCCACCCCCTCCCGGAGTTGATATAGCAAATGTCATAAAATATTTCTCCCAAACTCTTTTAAGTAAGTCGCTGATTCAAAATCAACTTCATTTACAAATCTAATCAATTTTGCTAGAGCTTTCTGGTGTTTTTGTGACAAATATCAAATGTCTTTCAGGTGTTCTGAAAGACGTCCCAAATTCACCTTTCGATCTGTTAAAAAATCCCGAAATGGATTCAGTGCGTTTAGCACTGTTTCCAAGTCTGGATTACAAGGCTTTATATTTCTCTCTCGTACCCATGGTCGAAGTAGCTCCTTTCGTGACCAATGGGCTTTATGGTAAATTTTGAAATGAAATAGATTGATTGGATCGTACTGTATTGGTTCAAATTTCAGTTTATGGGCAGGCTCTTCTTCAATGTTTAGGTTGTTTGTTACCGTTTATGGAGCATGATCTCATCGATAATTTGCCTTATATAATTGCATCCACCACAGCGGTTCTACCTTCTAGTTTACATCAAGACATAATAAACACTCTATGCTATTATATTCTACCTTTCACAATCAGTAAGTAATATGATTTTACATAATAATATTTTTTTTATGGAAAGGAAAAAGTGTTTAAGGGAAAGAATTTCAGCTCGTCATGACCCCAAGGAAGATAACATATGCCCGTCTGTTTCTGCAGTTGTTATGACCGTTTTTCAATATTCGTCAAATCCAGCTCATCACTGTCAACTGTTGGAGTGCCTCATGACTTTCAAGCAAAATATTCTTAAAGATGTTTTAAGCGCAATTGCTTATGGTACCTCCAACTCAAGAGCCTCCGCTGCAAAACTATTGTTTTACTACTGGCCAACGTTCAATGCCAATTTATTTGATCGGAAAAATTTAATTTGTAAATTTGCAGGTAAATTGCTAGAGAATTATCAGTTGGGTCGGTTAGCATGTGGTAATTGTGTTGGGCTTTTAGACCCTACACCTTTCGTTTGCCAAAGAGATGAATGCCCGAATTCCGGAAATGCTGAAGCTGCAAAAGTCTGTTATAATCACTCTATCGCCCTTACATATTCTACCGATATTCCTCCTCCGTTGTACTTATGCATCGAATGTGCTAATGAAATTCATCGTGAACATCCTAATCAACTTTTTTTTGATGTTTTGCATCCAATGCAGCAAGTGTCGATGGTGTGCGAGAATAAGGTATGCCATAACAAATATGGCTTGCTACATGCGACACATAAATACTTTTTTTTTGCGATTTTTCAGAATTGTAGATCGAATGATAAATCAGCAATATCTATATGTTTTTCAACCGAATGTGCCTCATACAATGGAAACCACCCAATTCGATATTGCGATCAGTGTCACAATAACCGGCACAACTCTCGCAGGGGTGGAGACCATATTGTTCATAAAGCGATACCCCCAACTTGGGACATGACTGCAGAAATGCAAACCTACATGGTCGAAGCAATTGTTAGGTAGATAAATTGTTTTCTCTCGTCAGTTGGTACTAATCCTCAATTTTCATAACAATTCCAGTTTATTAAAGGAGGCAAAAATTCCCGAAAATGAATATAAAGACATTGATCGTAGCTATTTTGAAGACAAAAGCGATAAGAAAGATCCCAAAGAAGCTAGAGACAAAGAAAAAGATGGAAAAAGTCCGATACCGACAATTGACAATATTAGCATAGAAGAGCGACAACTTTTAGGAAGATATGGCGTCTGGCTGTTGGTCGGCCGTTGTAATCCTGATGAAAACACTCAACGAGAAGTTTTGGGACGACTTTTATCTATGATTTTTCATTGGTTTCATATGACAGCGTATTCATACGATGGTAGACTTTATAAGTTGTTGAAATGCCCCAACCGACCGGACAATTTTGCAGGTCGGGAAGAGAGTGCATTGGAAAAACTTAAAATGACAGACGTTTGCGGCTGGCTGCGAAAAATAAGTAAATCGCATTACGATCTTTTCATATCGTGCCTTTTACCTCATCCGTCAGATTATGCCCGGATAGGTGGACATTGGTAAATACACGATGGCCTTAAATCTTTCGGCATCGATTGTCTCATGAGAACTTTCAGGGATACATTGGCGACAAAAACGACCCATTTGAAAGAAGGTTTAGATCGTCTCTTCTGCCTGGTGCCTTACGACGTAATAACACAGGAAATTTGGGACTATATAATGCCTCACTGGATGGAAGCCACTGTTGACGGAGTGCCAGAAAAAGATCTAGCCGAGCTTAAAATAATTCTCAGTAAAATTCTTGATCCAGATATGAGTCCTTTAGGTTTCGACGCGAAGAAAATGTACCAGTTTGTGGCTACTAGGTTTCTAAAAACCAACGCCAAAGTGCAGCAACAGGCCCTAAAATGGCTCCAAGTGCGAAATTCGTTCACTTAGATGCGTACTGACACTTAAAATTATTTCGTTTTTTTTCCAGACTTTAACTCTTCTAGAAATTTCAATACCTTTGCACTTGCTATTTTCAATTTTTGAAGACGGAATAATTAGTATGAAGGAAGGGGATGGCCATAGCGAAACTACACCCATTCAGCAACCTGCCGATGTACCTACCACTACAGACTGCAAACCCGACACCTTTGATAAATTGAGTAAATTTTTTATTGATTCAGAATTCATGGTTAGTCGATGAGCTAATAAATCTCCAATTTTATTTTAGTGGCAGAAGACATTCCCCAGTGCGAAGATTCGCCAAAAACTTCATCAGATGAAGAAAATAATACGATTGTCAAGTCAAAACTTGAGACACAATCGGAGAACAATTTGTCTTGCTGCATTCTCATGCTTGATATTCTGCTAAAACAGATGGAACTGCAAGAGATTGACAAGCATACAGGTCTAAGTTCATCTCTATGCAAAAACGTTTGCTCCCTTTTGAAAAGCATGATAACGGCTGCCTGGATTAGTTCTCATGCATGCTCTTCCAAAGCCGAATGTACTCACTGCGAGTGCAGCATAATGTGGCATCAACTCGCCTATGAACTCGTTATTTATTTGTCACCGGTTACTCTGGCTCATCCTCCTGATGTAAGATTGCGAATCAGCCTTTCTTAAGTTATAACGTACACGTTATTTACATATAATACGTGTAATTTGCTTATATGTTTTAGCCTCCCTCAGAAACAGATTCAGATGATATTAATAGTAGAAAAAGTCCACCTGAAAGCGATAAAAAAGAGAAAACGAGTGAAATGGTGCTAAATATGTCAATACCAGAGGTGCCTTCAGTGGGAGGTGTATTAGTTCATATGCCGCACGTGTGTTCTGTACGAATTTCTATACATTAGAATCTAGTTTTTTTCTTGGTTTGAGTTATACAATGCCACTACCAACTGGTGGTCAATCGCTTCTGCATTTCTCATTCACTTTTAGATCATGACAGCTACCGTTGAAACAGTCTCAGAACAGCTTGATTTGGGATCGATAATTCCCGCTGAAAAAGTGGTATCTGCTGTCACCAGAGCGATTACCTTATCTGAAACTGATTTAGGTACTATTCCGCAATATGTTAGAGCCCCTAATCCTGTTTCGCATTGGATTTCTGTATATTTCAGCAACAGTGGCAGCGTCGGTCGGAAAGCTCCAACCTTCTGCTCTGAGCGAAACAAACGAGCAATTAGATTCAGATTCAGCTGGAGAAGATATTGATTTTTGGCAAACTTCTTTGGGAAAATTCAAGTTTTCGTTGGACGACTTACCAGAACCTATACAATTTATTCATCAGTTACTTCTCGAGCTTTCAAAAGTTATCAAACCCGACATACTTTACTACATGCTTAAATGTCTGAATATTTTAATACTCTATGGAGATGCATGCACAAGAGCTTCGAAGGAAAATAAAGGATTTTTTATTTGGTGCCAGGAACACCTTATTATTAAAAAGTAGGATTTTATTCGCAATTATTCGCGATTAGTTGTATACAATAATGTCTACTTTAGTTTCTGGAACCTACTAAATTCCGAGCACTCTCACATATGCCAAGAGGCTGTGCCACTGCTGCTTCACTGCATAACGTTGCCAGCAGGACCAGATGTATTTTGGAGAGTAATACAGGATGACTTCCATAATCAAGATTGGAGAGTACGATTTACGGCTGTAGAAAGAGTGACCGTTTTAGCCCGATTCATGGCGGACTGTCCTCTAAGGAACCAAGTACAATTGCAAGCAGCCCTAGCGAATGCCTTTTGTTACCTGATCTCTAGTATGGACGACCCAAACGTGTATGTGGCTCAGCGAGCTACTTTGTACTTGGGAACCATCCACGATTTTGCTATTCGGGTAAGCGTTGGTAACCTCTGTTGAGCGTTCAACAAATTTATTTCTACTTTTTCCTGTTTAGGCATTAATAATGTGCCTGGAATCACAATTTGATTCAGTGATTCTAGATCGACCGATGGTTCTGCAATCGATCTATCAACTCCATAACTCTTTAAGTGAGCGAAAGATTTTATGTTGGGAATTTTTTCTTAGTCGTTTTGATACTCTGTTTATTGAAGCTCAAATTGCCTTAGAAAAAACTGGTGATATTACGTATATAAGAGGTGAGCTATCCATTGCATTGTAATAAAAATGTTTTATAATTATTCAATTGACAGATTTAAAAAATACAGACGTAAACAGCGACATTTTTATACGAAAACTGCATAGAGCTCACGATGCGCTCTCCGGATTAAATGAAGGAAGTATTGCGAGTTCCATAAAGACGTTGAGCGCAAGTTTCGGGACTAAGTGGCCTTATAAGCGTACAATGTCCGCTCCTGCCTCAATTATCCGACATCAGGAAAGCAAATCAGGTATATCAAATGTATATCATTTGCTATAAGGCTGCAATCATTTAGACATGCAAATTAACTATATAGTGCAGCTAAATTAGATTTCTCCCTATATACTTACATTCATTGAACATTACCCATTATAGCCACAACAAAAAAAAAAAACGAGCAAACTTAATATTTGAATTTTTATATGACATCATGTGTTTTATCAACAGTGTACATCCCAGAAACAAAAGAAAAAGTGTATAGTCGTCAATATTCAGCTCCAATATTGAAAAGAAAAAGTTCTCGATTCGGATTGGGTCAGTTTCTAAGCTCTAGTAACAGCATTCCAGGTAGAACATAGAATAGAGTCTTGCTTAGTGGGCGCATGAATGTCAATAATAACGAAATCAATGTAAGTTGAAGCTTGATACCAAATTCTAGTGGCAATGCATCTTAGGTTGAAATATTTTGCTTTCTGCTTGCAAGACAAGCTTCTTGAGTACGCCAGCAAGTGGAAGCAATATTAAAACATTTACATACGCAGTACCTACCTAATTATATTACTATACGTATTTAATATATCAACTCATGTATACATGTAAAATTCGGCAAATTCACACATTAGTTAGCTCACAATTTAACTACCACACGGTTACAACCCATAAGAAACAGTACACTATTATTTTGATCAACTGCGTTATGGCTTTAGCTACCTTTTACGTACCTATACTTAAGTACACGATGTTGTGATTAATTGGGTAGATTTACAACGTTACATATTATGTGAAAAGTATATATATATGTATATAACCATAGGCACTTATGTATATCATATCACCCACTAAGCAATAAAAGTTTCAGTATTATCAAACAAACTTTTCAGTAGCAGCTATTTACTAATAACTATAGACAATTATATTGTATGCAAGTTTAGATTACACTCAACAACGTAAAGAATTGAGTAGCCTGCAATTTTTATTATAACAAGCAAGTAAAAAAATGCGTTCGCATCATGATGGTATACGGCTTGCATGTTTTAAACGAAAGTATAGAATATGTTAAACATTCAGTCTAGAAAGTTGTTATAAGAGCATTAAACTTAGAAAAACCACAGTAGCAGGTCCCACTGAATTACAAATTGCAAGTAAATTATAACTTCAATGTGTGTAGATGGTCACATGCATTCTCTGAACGTTGTTGATGATCAAAACCTTACAACGTTCCTGCAAAGAATTATTGAACTGGAAGAGGCGGATAAAGAGACAATGCATTTATTAATTTTCTTGCTGATGCAATTTCTATCCAGATCAGATCAAGCGTACCCCGCAGAGGAAAAAACATTAGGGCGAACTCAGACTATCGTTTTGAAGCACTTGTGGTTACTTTTAGGTACTTATTAAGCTGTGGCTTAATGTGTGAAACTACATTCAAAGTGATCTGTTTCAGGCTATACTCAAACAGACCGAGGCATTCATTTACCTCCTCAAAATTTACGCGCATCCCCGGCATTTAACGTTTTTCTAGCGAATTTACCCCAACTAATGGATCAAAATCACTTAATGGGAAGAATAATTTTTCCAACTTGCTTAATTTTGTTGCAATACGCACCCTCGCCATATTATATTTCGAGTGTGATGGAATTTCAACAACCGTTGTATAGTTTGTGGACATTGGAACCCCATTCCCGAAAGAACTGGCTGATGTCTTTAGTTGTGATTTTATACAAGGTAGGTATCTAATAATCTGACTTACTGTTGGACTTACTGCATAATTTGCTACTTTTACAGTATCAATATAATCACCAACCTCACTGTATTCAACTTACATCCTTAATAAGAATCGTGTTAAATACTTTGGACTCTCAACATCATCACTGTAGGAGAATTCCTGCCACCATCATTATGGCCCAACAAGCCTCCAGATCACGGGGTAGACTTAATCCCTGTTGATCTACATGTGATGTGTTAATGACTATTTTACTTATTTAGACGTGAGTCAGCCATCCTTGGGCACGGAAATGGACCATCCAGAGCGAACAACTCCTCCACTATCTCCTATGTACTCGTCCGACGGTCAATCAATTCAAGTATCCTTAAGTTCGAAAGGTGGGAAAGTGCATGTGTGCTATACCAAACCGTCTTCAATGACCAGCATGGAAACTCATTGGGAAGAAACGAATCAATGCGAGAAATTATCAGATCGAAAATGGGAAAGAAACATTAAGAAATGTTCGGATAAAATTAGCATAGACGATGATACAGAAAGCGAACTGATAGCTATACCTGAGAGTGATATTTCTGATAGCACTCTGCAAGGCAGCGTTCAAGATTCGTTCGAAGAAGGTAGCTCTGGTTTATATGTATAAATGAAAAAATGAAAATGTCTTTTTGTCATCAAACAAAGTTCCAATAATACGTAATACGTGTTAATTTGTTTTAGCGTTAAGTGAAAACTCTGGAGCTGGAATATACAAGCAACCAACAGAAAAGGTGTTAGTGAATAGGTCTCCAAAAGAAACTGTATCCAACCAAATAGAAATGACGAAAATTACCAGCAATCAAACCCGACCAGTATGGATTATAGGGAGTGAAGATGAATCCACTCGATCTTGCGAGAAAATGCAGGAGATTGCGAAGGCTAAAATGGATTTTAATAAAAATCATGCTAAGAATAAATCGACATTTACTTTGACAAATGGTTGGTATAATAACATCTTTATTGCTGAACATTTATTTTAAAATGTCGACCTTATTGTATATGCAGGATCAAGTATACCAATGAAGTCTGTAGCCGCAACTTCTAATAAACAGATGGATTCTAGAAGCGCTTCGATGGGAAAACATAAAAAAGCCATGGAACAGTCAACTCCTCCTCTATCAATGTGCACATTGGATTACGATAGCACTAAAAACAATCATAATCCTCTGCCCACTCCGAGTGTAGAACGACTTCTGCCCATCGGACCCATAAAATCACCTGGTTAGCACATACATCAAATTAGCAAGTACTTACTACAGAATATACCAGTTTTATTTCAGATTTGATAGACGACGTGTTTTCTCCATTAGAACCCCAGTTGGAAATACCCATGCAAGAAAGATTACTCCCAATAGGTCAACACACAAAGGATATTTCACAATTAGTCGAAAAAGTAAAGCAGGTGTTGAATATTAACTCGAAACTGACGAGAAAGTCAGATTTTCGAGAGAAAAAGCAAGAGCAGCCTAGCACCTCACAAACCCATAGCCCAAGGAAATTAATCAAGCAAGTGGCTTTAGAAAGTCCACCCAACCTATACGAATCAGATGATAATGGGAACAGTTTTGAACATTATTTGAAATCCCTAAAACTCGACAATACAAGTAATTATTATATTTCGTGTACTGTTTTAAGGGTTTGCTTCAATTGGCTAATTTCAGGAGATAACATCATCAATCACAGACAAAGAATTAGGAAATCTGGGTTTTCACCAATGAATTTGCAACAGAAACCTAAAGTTCCCGGAGGTTGGGTGGTCAACTCACAAACGCTCTCCCCTAAGTTAGATAGTGAGTGAACTACAATTCAATTATTGCTTAATACGAACGGTGGATTTTAGCGAATTACGATGTAAAGCAAAGTGCCTACCGAATAGGAGATGAGTGTGTTAAGGAGAGATGTTCAGAGTGTGGCACTGTAAGAGAAGTATACAGTGACGAAGAAATTGGACTTTGCATAATCGCTTTAGGAACATTCATTCATCGAGAGCCTAGTCTTGCAGCTCCACTCTTGCCTGATATTTTAAGTATAGTAGTCAAGTATGTGTAAACTTAGGTAGCAAAAGCTACTTTAAAAGTGCAATGTTCGGATCCACAATATTTTTAGAATTGCTACCAATGCTTCTTATCCGTGGCAATACGAAAGCAGTGTTCATCTGCCTGGGGGAGCAGTAAGTGTTGCACACCAATTCTTGAGATGCGTTTTACACCAACTTGCTCCTAATGGAATCTTCATACAAATGTTTCAAACGAGAACATCAGGTAACGTAATTCGTTTTTCCAAGAGAACGAACTTGTTGTCTCTAAGTAAGAGTTATTTTCAGACCAAGTCAGACTGCATTTCTTTAAAAGCGTGATCCAAGCATTAGTCGATTTTAACGAACTCAGCCCAGTAGCGCCTTTACAGCTACTTTTAGAAACTCTGAACTCCAAAAAAGCCCTGCCTACAGACATGATGCCCACGATACTATCAAACGTAGCAGTTTATTTAAACTGCTTGCCGCTGGAAAATGCTTTGGGCCCAACAACCCCAATGTGGAGCACTGTTTTACAACAGTTGGAAATTATTTATAGGAAATTAATTTTTATGTTAAACACCATTGACGATGTCACACCCTTACTGAATATTATGACTTCGATTTTCAAATTACCATTGATAACCCAATTTAAGGTGATTGGACTTTGGCCAATCGGATTTCATCTTGGCTCATGTTAACTTTTGCTTATTTTTAGGGCATTCTAGATCCGTTCTCAAAAGTGCTCAGCTATGCAATTCAAACACATTCGTTACGATATAATCTCTTGGTTGAAATATGTTATCTCTGCAATAAGGCATTTACCAAAGAACGAGATAAATTGATTTTCAGCAGGATGGTGGTAATTGAATTAGTACAAGTATTGAAGTTTAAAACAACTATTCCGGATTCCAATTTGTTAATGTTGATAAATCTGATTCTGCAGGTGACAACATGAACCAACTAAAGTTGCTGTTGAATTGAAATGAAAAATGTATTGCTTTTGTAGGACGTCGGTGGTTATATACCTTCAAATGTTGTGATAAAAGATAACAATTTACTGGCATTAGAGGCCTCGACAGGCTGCAATACTGGCGTGTCCGAATGTATGAAACTCAACCTTGTAGATATTTTAGAGTTCTTATCAGATTTTCATACGATATCAAAAATGAAGGCAAGTACCTATCAATAAATCGTGGTTTTTGCCGTAACGATGTTTTAACATGTTCAGAGTTACTGCAAGGGAATTGGTGTTGGTTTAAATGATGATACTCTAGGAGGTATCATAAAATGTAGCGTTGCACAATATTTAGCATTAGAAATAACAAAAGGCAATGGAAGGGACAATAGAGCTGTTACAAGATATTTTCCTTGGTTGTACAATACTTCCGTATCTCAGCAGAGGTAATTTTTCAAATGTTTAATTCGCTATTGGGCGCAACACCACTCATCACTTGATTTTTAGTCCTCGAGAATTTATTGAATGCATAGGGCACATAAGGCTTTTATCATGGTTACTTCTCGGGTCCCTCACTCATACAGCTCTACAAGGAATAAATAGTAGCTCGATGTTAAGCCAACCAATTCCCCAAGAAGCATCATGCCAGATAGCTGATAACATCCAAGTCATAATGTCTGGGTTTGCGGATCAGCCAAAAGCGAGCGTTTTGCACATGTCTTCCCTGTTTCATGCCTTTATTCTATGTCAACTTTGGACTGTTTACTTGGAACAAAGCTTGGGTCAACACTTGCCCATTACAGAAGCATATAATGTTACAATGAATATTTTGTTTGATTTTTGGGGGAAGGTGACTCCTTCCATTTTGCAGCTAGTTCAGCAATCGAGATCCGTAAGTGCACTACCCAACTTTTTACAATAAAGTGCGAACAAAATTAGATTTTCTAGCTGAGTGAAATTGTGAGCTTGCACTTTCTAAGTATGTTGGAAGCGCTTATAGAATGTCAGTCTACATTTGTTGCGAAACTGCTGCCTTTATGGACTCCAGTATTATCATCGAATCAAATTCAGGTATGTGTTTAAATGTTTAAAATTAAATAACTGAACTGTACTTGACTTGACTTTGATTATAGCTGCCAGGTCATTTGTATGTACGACTACAGAATTGTCGAAACTTTTCTCCATTGATATACCAGGAAATAGCAAGTGACAAAGGCAAAATTAACCATCTAAAAAACCCAATGTTACTCAAATGGCTGCAGCGATTACAATTTAAAATGGGTCAAATAGAGCTGCAATCATCCACAGCTACACAATTCTATTCACTGTAGGCAATGCTATTCATTAATTATCAGTAGGTTTAGATTGTGTAGATTGTTTCATATTGAACTTTTAAGTTGAAATCCGTCTGAACTTCAGTTAACTGTCGCATGTTAAATCCTATATTTCCTCTGTTTAGGTAATAAAAGAAATAAACAGGTCTATTAATGGAAATTTATTTAAAAAAATATTTTATTTACAAAATATAAAAACATAACACAAACAAGAAGGTGCGTTTTTTATTTACATATTTCGGCCTTAAGCACGGCCATCTCGTTCCGTGTGGTTTTAGATGCCAATGGTTGCAACTGAAATTATTTTCAGCAAGAATCAATCAGTGGAAATATGAAACCCGTCTTACCTTTTCGCAAAAGTATTCAACATCGTATCTTATCTGTTCCCGAATTTTTGCTTCATCAGACACCGTATTTGGAGACGCCTGTGTCGAATCCTCCTCGCTTGAATTTAAAGTTCTATTCTTCAATCTCCTCAATGACTCTTCCGTTTTGCAAACCGACATCAATACTTCGCGAACCAGAGACAAATACCTACAAATGTTGTAAACAAATAAATAGAAAATGAATAGAGATTTACTTATTGAACACGTACTTATTGGCGATTTCCACAATAATTTGATTCAAAATATCGCTGAATTGGTGTAAATCAGATATAAACTGATTAGAAAATTTCAAAATAGGTTGCAACGCTTCCATCATGTATGCACTTGCTTCCTTTGGGGGACTTCTGTTAGTTCTTCTGTATAATCTCGGAATGGCAGTAACACTTTGCAATTGAGAGACACAAGCATTAACTTTCAAGTTGGTCAGGTGGTTCGCGTATGCATTTCTGACGTGAGAAATAACTTGGCCATTTGCTTTAAAGACCCTGATCAAAACTTTCCACATTCCTTTGTTTACAATGGCAAACGTGGTTTTCTCAACATCAACGCTCCGTTCACATTTCAATGCGAGCAAAGAATCTGCCATATTCAGATCAATCAAAACGCTTATAATAAAAACGTCGATAGTGTCTTTAAATGCTGCTGAAGCAATAATGTGATTTAATAATTTCATAATATGTTCAGCATATCTAGAAAGGAGCAGCATTGACAGCCTGATAAACTGATCAGCCAATTGATCAATATAGGTGTCTTCTTGAAAGCAACAAACTATTGCATTCCACATAATTTCAGTTAACTTCAATTTGAACGAGTGCCTACTCAGATCGGCTGTAATATTATCTAATGTAAAATGTAAGGTATCGGATTCAAACTTTCCGGCAATTTGTTGGAACTTGATTTCGAAGTATACAGGTAGGTTGAATCTTTTTAAATGTGCTTGAAAACTTTCATCTAGCCTAACTAAATCCTTGTTATCAGCTTTGGCTGCTATGTACATTAATAAGTTATAAGTACTCGTAAATCTTTTTTGAAATAGCTCAGGATTGCCAGGGGCCGTAATGTGGGGAAGTCCGGCCCGCGACTGCAAATCAAATTCCTTCCAGAACGATTTTAATAGAAAGCTGAACGAATTCAATTCGGAGTTATCTTTAACAATCTTAATTACTCGTTCAACTGTGGTATCAAGTATTTGTTTGATATTGATGTAGACTTCATTTAAGTCCTGCCCACATTTCTCCAGATATCTTTCGGATAAAAATGACTGCAGTGCTGGTTTAATTATATGTGTTTTAAATATGTCATGGGCTTCATCCTGTAGTTGAAGATCGACGTACATTCGCAAACATCTAAGAAGAATGTTTTCGTCATTATCCTTAACAGCTTTAAGAAAGCAATTATTTAAGTTACTCAAAAGCTTGTGCTCGACATTTTTCACCACTTTTTCAATATCGGGTGTCATCAAATCCAGCTCATCTAAATATATTTTTTCAAATGAATACTTATTTACTATCCTCTCCAGAGTCAGCAAATTTCCAACAACACTGGCTTCAATTAGAGTAATAACCACGTCAATGTATACAGTTGAATTCAAAATTCCCAATTTCAAATGGATGTGATTCTGTTTCGAATGATTTCTTTTAATATCACCCAAAATTAGTTCGTAACCAGATTTAGCTTTCTTTATTAGATCGTATAAAGCCTACAAAGAAATTCAGTTCAGTAATAGTCGATTTTCGCTTCACAAACATACTCTTATCTCTTCCCTCAGTTGATTTATGGGTATAGATAAATTATCTATTCTCGAATTTAGGTTCGTAAGATTCTCTGCCAAGTTTACTATTGCCTCTGTTTCATTTTTCAAAATATCGGACATATGCAACTGAAGTTCAGCTCCATATTTTTTTAAATCCTTCTTGAGTGTGTCTAGATCAAATTTTTGCGTATATTCTGTGAGAGATTCGTCCACACTAAAGGTGCCCTAATGAAGAAAACAATGATATTTTATTATTAAAACTTAGTATGTGGCCAAAATGTTTTTTTGTATGTGGGTAAAAAGTGCAGATGGTGAATGTTTCCTTATGTCGGATCTCTTAGATCGAATAAACTATCACTTTCTGCTTACTTTAATTTGTTACGCGAATAGGTATCAGTTAACTAACCAGGACATGAACCAACGGAACATGTTATTCTCGATATTAACTTGGTAATATTGAGATTAACATCATTTTGAACGTTAACCGTAACATAGCGCTAACTATAGTCTTGGTCTATAGTTAGACTATAGTCTTGGTCTAAACCAAGACTATAGTTAGTCTTAGTTGTTGGTCGTACCTTGAAAAATGCTTCCTTCCATATATGCAAGTCTTCAGGATCCATTTGCCTCGTTAAAAGGACGACAGAACAACTGAGAAGAATATAAGTCCGAAGTATATCCGATTAAATCTAAGATCGAAGGTAAATAAATACGTGTAAATAAAGTGTGGTTATGACCACAGAACACAGAGGTTTTCTCTGTAATCTGGGCGGCAGACAGTCATTTAATTTTATATGCGAGAATTTTGACAACCCCGGTGAATGGCGCGCAGAAAAATTACATTTAGCGTCGTGAAGTATTTTTGTAAAAGCAGAAGCATATTTAAATAAATTGCATTGTTTCCTAAATCATATTGGTAAAAAAGTTTTTTAAAGTCCGTCCCAATTTGTCTGCTGGAACACTTCCCAAAATGTGTTGCTCGTTTGTGAATGCTTTACTTTGGTTTTTGCGACTACGCTTGAATCTGCTAATTCAATAACTAATAAATTGTGCAGCCTCTCAAAACATACCAAGCTGAAAAGACCTAGTTTCACGAAAAATTGAGCAAAAGACTGATCGAAGAATTTATAATTGTGCATACAAAAGTCGCCACATGAACGGCTGGCTGTGTGTGTTGGGCTGAGCAAGCAGCACAAGAGCAACAGTTGGATCGTGAACTGAAAATATTTACAAAATTGTGAATAATAAAAAAACTGCAACCGAACAGCAAAGTCAAGCAATGAGTCAATTATATCATCTAAGTTCTGTAGCTCGGTGCGTTTTTATGTGCTAAACACCTTAATATCGCATTAGTTTTCTTCGGCTCTTTGTTCATGCTGCTGCACTGCTGAATTTAATCCACATTTATTTTCAACTTCGTGAGGACACTCATTGTGTGTTCACTATTCACCGGATAGACGGAAGTTTTAAGATCGGATACAAAAACAAACTGCTTGATCAAAACATCATTCTAGAAATGTTTCCAGTTTTCATGCAAAATGCTATAATCTAAAATTACTGCGGTTTTTGAAAAGTTCTGTAAGACTTTGGCTCATTGTTAGAGAACCGTTAATAAAAAGCATGAAAAATACTCGAAACCGGTCCTCTAGGTGCCTGCGATTACCACATCTGGAAAATATGCATTAGCTTACATCAATACTGATATTTTTGTTCTTAAAAGGTGGTGTTTTATATAAAAAAGTGGACATTTAAATGCTTTATCCCGCAATGACAACTAGAAGTTTACCAGTTCCCAGAATAAGTTCTCTAAATATGAGACAAATACTAAGAGCGGTACTAAAAGAGGTACATGAATTTGTGATATATCTGAGTTTTTGATTAACTTGTGTGTCCATCAAGAGCTGAAAGCTAAGTGGAAATAAAAATGAACAAAGGTAAATAAAACACATTTGTAATTTTTTCTATTAAGTAGTTTAGTAACTCCATTCAGTCTTTTAAAATAACATATAGTATTACATTACCATTCATATTATTGCAGATGCAATCAGATATTCACATATTACTATGAATATATCGATGGATGCGTACATAAAATTCAGTATCTTTCATTCATCAAACCATACTTACATACATTTAGTATTTACAATTCTTACTATGCAGTTGTCCAGAAGCATTTTTTGGCATAAAAATTGTATATACAGTACTTAAATAAAACGATAAAACATTTACATGAGTAAAAAGAAAACGGTAGTACCTATGTGAACATGATATGCGCAGCTGCTTTTACGTATTTGGAAAGCAAAAACAATGTCTTTTAGGAATGATGCTCATAAATTTAAATTCAATTTCTAATATATTAAAATTTCTTAGAGATGAAACACGTAGGAATATCATTCGATTTTTTTGTTCCCTCAATAATTAATGTAGAATTTGTTAAAACTGTCCCTAATAATTCGCATTCAAAATTATTGCCACTATCTTGTTCCGTCTAATTGATGAACGTAATTGTTTTGGTTGGTAGAAACAAAATGCATTCCTGATTAAAATTACTGAATGTTTCTTCTGAAATTATTAATTTAGAAAGCTGCCAAGAGAGTCCATTCATTCACAGGTAACCAAATAGAAATTAAGTTTAGTATACACAATACACTCTCACTAAAAAGGAATGTTATCAAATTGTCTTAGACGCTACGTAAACATTAAAAAATGCCTATTGGTTTTTAACACTAAGGAAGTGCTAGAATGACACGAATCTAATTTATTTATTTCTGTATGACCATTCAATCCGAAACTAGGTAGCACTACTCACTAACCAGTTCCAGTTCAATTAATTCAATCAGAAATAACGACTTAGACCATTTGCAACCTTTGCAACCGCGGTATAACAATGATAAAATGATAGTAAAAAATTATTTTCAGGGAAAAATTTTGTGGTTGAATCAGTCTATAATTTTTTTGCCATTGAATTATCTGGTTGAAAAGTAAAAATAGAATTGAATTAATTGCCCGAAACAAATTTATTTCAGAAACATTCAGCAATAGTACAATAGAAATAATCCAGCGTTTTCATTATTTCAAAGGCTGTTTAAATTTACATTTCGAGCACTCACATTCAGGGTATGAGAAAAATAGGTTGCATGGTTAAAACGAGACACAATGGAACCATCAAACAATCATAAAGGAACGCAATGAAATTATACGTGTTAGAAAAATAGCAAATTTACAAATTTGGCGGTATGGCAGATCTGATTTAAATTATCAAGATGTTGCGCAAAACCCAACCGATTTGTTCTTAAAACCAAATCTAGCTTTAGGTAGTAAAAATCCTCAAAACTTGGTGCGGCCCAACTCTTACATATATATCAATACATTTCCACACAGAAAATGCACAACATGATTATTATCATTACTTTATAGTGTAAAAAGCCTTTATAGTAGGTACAGAGGTTATAGACACATATTTACGAGTATTTTCTGTTAAGAAATGTACTATGCTGGTTGTTACACATTAACTTACACAGCCTTATGATACATACACAAAACACATTAAAATCGACCCGTGCATAGTATTGCTTCATTAGCAATGGACTTTCGTAGTAGATTTAGTCATTTATGGCATGAGGTTTTCGAAATGTTCTATTAAGAATTAAATTTAATCGCGGACGAACGGATAAAAGTATAGTGAAGATACGTGTTTTAATTGTAAGTTTCGGGTATATGTCGATAAACACAAAGCAGTCCATTAAAAAAGAAGCATTCATATGTATAAACTTTTGACATTAAATGATTGAAAGGTCGCAAGTAATACTACACCCTGGTACTTCCTCGTTTCGGAAGACAATCAAGAATGATTGCATTCGAGTGGTGTACCTTAATTCTACCATTTTTATAATCGACTATATGACATCAATACATCATACGCATTAGGAAACGATAGCTTGAAAATTCAAGAACTGTTTATAATTATTTCAAAGAAAACATTTGTAGTAGAAATAGGGTACAAGCTTCCAACTAAAATATAAAAACATTATAAATTGTATAAAGGTATATAAATAATACACATATAAAAAAGCAATATTATGATTTGATATTATAATAATCGAAAGTATGGACTAAGGCTGACGATCAGCACAACAAAGCATAAAAATTCTAGTACTGCTATCATAAAAATATAGTACATTGATTTTTGGAGACAATCCCACTCAATCTACTAGAGGCACTTCCGAGTTACTTGAGTGAGTACTGCCCCCTCATATACACAGAACAATTATAATTGCACAACAGCAATTTCGTAACACACAGAGAATTAATAGTTCGTAGGGATATGTATTACTTAGTCCAACCCCTTCTAAGCCACTCGTTTGTCACAACTGCTGGTATTGTAAAAGTGAAATGGTTATGGTGCTGTCAATAAGAATAACAAAACGAGAAACGTATTAAAACACTTTCATAGGTGCTTCGACTTGATGTAAAGGATATTGTAAAAATTTCTTCAAATTCTTCACGTTTCAATTTTTTTAATGTTTACCTTGAGCTTTTCAAATTAACAACTGCTTAAACTTGCGATCCTAAATATTGATAACTACTTTGTGAAAACATTGAATTTTTACGGGCGGATCACTTATGCGACATAATCTGTAAAAGATCAGAGGGAGCACCTCTAGCCGCCATTGTTTCTTGAAAAAGTTATTTAAGATGCGTAATTGTGTAAACTCGTAGTTATTTAGATCCAACAATGTACAAAAGTGTTTTAAGGAAGCCTTAACCAACCAAACTAGCTTGATAGATGTATGATTGTGTGAAGTCAATGACAAAGAGCTTGTTGGAAGGCAGGGGACTAATTTCGCTTCTATCGTTTATCAGCAAGCTAATTCCTGAAGTGCTGGTGACAGGGGCGGGGCTGATGGCCTCATTAGATCAACACCGTCATCTATAGTTGAATGTATAGGCAAAGTGTCATCTGATGAACACATCAAATCAATCTCCGCTGACTGGCACGTCAGGTCAGGCCAATATCATGGTTGCTCAGCCTCATTCATTATTTTATGTGCCTGCTCTAGCTTCCAAGCTAAGCGCTGCCTCTGAGAAAATTCGTCTTCCTCCAGAGTGACGGTTAGTTGTTCGTTGTACTTCATAGCATATGTATAAAGTTCGTTTAATGCACAATTTGTATTAAATTCTGTGGTATGAAGCTGAAACAAAGGAAAGTAATAGAAAGATGGATTCTGCAAACAGATATGCTTACTCTTGAGTCTTCTGCTAACATAGCATTCATATCTTGGTCTGAAATGGCTGGCATCATTTTGATATCTGAGTAGTACCGTTCGACCCAATCCTTGTAACACGGAATGTCCTTGGCGTAAAGTAACTTAGAACTAGGCGAGTCTTTTCCTAAAAAAACAGAAAAAATATTTGAAGCAGACGTTAGCAGTTAAACATCTGGGTGTTTTTAACAACTTACCTAATCTATGGTCTGAAGTGGAACATGAATCCATGAAAGTTTGAGCAACTACAGATAGGCAAGCATCTACTATATTTGACTTATGGATATCAAACACAAAATTAGGATTTTTAATTAGATTAACCCAAAATCTAAGTGGTAAAGAATTGCTCTTCCACGTGTGCACTACTTCGGGATCAGAGATCCCATGCTGTAGAGCTTGGTCATCGAGGAAATCGAACATATATTTTATGGCAAGAGGTAACGCTGAGCCACGGTGTGCTGTACTAAAAATAGTTTCGAATAAATCATCCACAAATTTTTGTAGGGTACCCTTCGTGGCAAGAAGCCTTGTTAAATATATCTCTGAAACCATCTTATTTCCTCTCTCTCCTTCTTTATGGTTATCATTATCATGATGCTTCACTAAATGCCAAACTTTCAATCTTTGATCGTGATCATGATTCAAAGGACTAGTTGCTCTACTCAGAGGCGGGCTCACAGAACTCAGTTTGTTTAAATTAAGAGTTTCATATTTGTGAGTCTTATCGTTCTTATCAGAGAAAATACTTAAATTGTAGATTGAACTTTGTTTAGATACTAGATTAAGATATCCGCCGTCAGGTACTTTATAGTGCTGTAGTGTATTTCTTCTTTCCCATTCGGCTTCTAGCTTGGTTGTACTATCTTTATCATACAGTATTAACCGTCCGGCGGTACCTGTTCGCCATTCTGAAAACAGAAACAAATCAGTCAGGTTTGGCCAGATGGGCGTTACTTTATAACAATTACCTAAATCAAGATCTTCCTTTCTCGGTCGCTGGGAATAGGGTGTAGCTCTGTATATAGTATCTAGACATTTTTCTTTAACTTGACTAATTGTGTCACAATCTAAAACCTTCACGGCTACATTATCTGTATTAATATCCAAACCACCCACAAAAGCTTGTTGAGATATGGAAACATATACAGTCTGCAAAAGTAAATGTTTTGCTAAAACATAAAACAAAACTAGCAAATGACAACTTCCTTACCATTGGTCTAAAATCTATTGATTGTCGGATGAGTTTTTCTTCGCTGAGAGAGTATCTTGCTTCCGAGGTAATAGCATCTACAGGACCTTTGTCGACCTGCTGCTTAACAGCTCGAAACAACATAAATAGAGGTTCTCCTGCACATTCCCGCAAAAATTTGTATAAAAGAAATGTGAACCAAGCACTAAGCATTTTCTCCGCTACGCTTTCTGTTCGTCTTAGGAGCAATTTCGGATGACTTTTACCTTCCATGCATTTCTCTATCAGTTCCGCGAGAAGGGTTTTTAAAATATCTGTACAGTACTCCATTTTACTTTGTAACGTAACCATTATAAGACTTGCTACATTTACTCTGTCTCTCATAGAAAAGTATCGGTTGCTTTCTAAGGTTCTAATAAACAAAAGTAAGAATGTTTTGTTCATAATGAGCTGACCAAACAGTCGAAGACCCTTGTCTTTGCAAAGAAGTTCTGGTCGATCCCATTGGAGTACCACATGATCCTCCTCGTTGGGAAATAAAATTTTCATTGCGTATGTCCTATAGTCTAAGAAAGGAATACCCCCAGATGTAAGATCGCTCGTCAAGTCAGTCATTTCTGTTTGCAACTCAGCAAACGCCTCTTTACATTCTGCTGCCACTCGAAGTTCCAAAATATCCATCTGTTCTTGCATATTTTTCAAAACTCTGTTGTTCTCGGTAGATTTTCTTCGGTACGCAATCAAGAACAAAACGAAAGAGACCAAAATAACTACAGCGATACCAATTGCCCCATATAACGCTGGTTTGGTGAACGTGCCATTTAAGCTTTGTGGCGACGAATACGATAAGTGGCCAATATTGTATCTTAAAGATCCTCCAACTATCACCACAACTTCAGGCAAGGCCTCCCCATTAGGCTGACCAGTCTGACCGTCTACTCCAGGAGGTTGTGCTTCAGGTGGTCTGCATGTTAATTGCTGTCGCGATAATGACGTTACATTACAATAACTGGTTCCGATTCTTACTTCTACATCTGATTCTTGGCAGGCCCGGTCAATGTTTTGACCCTAAAAAGTGTCGGATGTTAAAATATCGCCTAAAGTCTTCTTGAAAACAGCATCTTACGTTGATATTCAAGTAGTCTGATTTGTAATATTTAACTTCTTTATCGAAAGGATTGAATGTAGGATTGGGATATAGTAAGAAAGGATTGAATTCCTTTTTCGACTGAGTTAAGTTTTGCACTCCAGTCACATTATCCATGCGAAAACCATATTCCAACTTTAAAGGATTGTCGGCATCCAATTTAGAGTCTTCGACTTCATCTATAACTGGACTCATACAGATCATGCTTGTATTGCTTAGCACAGCACATTCCTGAAACAACATTAATATTAATGCCTTTTGAAAATACCAGAGCATTGTCTGATATGCGACACAGCATGAAGTAAACTTCAGTGACCCAGCTTTCACAGGCATTCACGCCATTTACTAATTCAAAGTAACACTTACACTGATAAACATTTTCTGCGCATAGAAGACATACATTTGCGGTTTTTGAATGTAGGCCAGGTTCCTACCAGTAACCGAAATTTTGATTCCACCCGCAGGAATTCCTTTGGGAAACTTAATTTGTCCAGTTGGAGACCCGGACTCGGCTGATTCGATAACAGGGTCATCGACATATTCAAACATGGTGTTTTCCAAATATCGATCACCTTTGTCAAACTTCATTCGCAATTTTTTCCTTGATGTTGTGTTGGAAGCGCTTGTAATACATAAGGCTTGGTTTTGTTCCGTTCTAAAATACGCAACAATTATTTTTATTTTATTGACAAGTCTGAAGCAAAACCATGACATATGTATGTATGTGTGTAGGGAACAGCACGTCTCAGTAATAATTTCAAATCGAATTGAAACTGTAGTCGATTCTTTAGAACATGCGATACTTACGATACAATTTTGCACGGCAAATCTTCAAGAAACGCTTGAATGTTGCTTCCTGCGTTCATGTATTCTCCAGTAATTTGAAGGGCCGTTCCTCCAGACTTTGGACCATATCGCGGTGATATACCGATAACTGACGGATCAACAAACCTAAAATGAGTCTTAGATTCTCCCCTGTAGTCTTCAACTTTAACGGTGACGGGTCCTTGTCGTGGTTCTTTAGTTCCAGGACCATCCACTATGCACACGATTTGTTTAGTTTTGATATATAAATGTTCATATGGTTGGCAATTGATTCCCGCTATGCTAACTCCAGTATAAATGTCTTGGAATGTTTTTCCTAAATTAATTCCTTGGATAGTGATATTTGTTCCACCTTCCCACGGACCGAGTTCTGGACTAAAAGATGTTACTTCTGGATTGGGACAAGTTTGGCTTCTGTTCAACCAGACTGCAGATCCCCGTTCGCATTGTTCTTTCACTTCACATCTATCAGAACTCTGACACCAGCCACATTCATATTTTTCGGAAAGAGCCAAACATATACCACAATTATCGGCCATATCATGACAACGGTATATTACAACTAAAAAAACAACAAAAGTATGTTGAAAGAGTCACATACATCTTAAAACTCTCAAAAACTTACTGTGAATGTTGTCAGGATTGTCCAGAGGTTTCGAGCCGCCCCAAATAACAGCAAAGGTGGCAGTTATATTAGGGGCACGTGAAGAATAAGAAAATTCCATAGAATCGCAGTAAATCGTATCACCTAATAGCTGAGCGTTGACACTGGTAACTCGACCTTCAATGTTAAATTGACAAACAAATCTAGTTTGGACGATGAACTGCCCGATGATGTGGACTTTAACTTTGATGGCCTTTTTAATACCAGATGCCACAAGAATTTCCGGAGTATTTTCTACCGTGGAATTGATTGTTGGACAAAAGGCCGGTCCGGATCGGTAACTGGGACCCGCTCTCTAAAAAGTGAAAATTTTCGTTGCAATGCTAGTTCTCAGTCCCTTTCCTCCTCACTCCTCAGCTTTCACAGCTCTGGCTCATGCATGCAGGAAAGGTAAAAGTAACTTACACTGACTCCAGTCACTAAAATATCGTTTCGACAATTTTCGGCTGTGTCATGAGTGCACCTATGACCATCAACGCACCAGTCACATGGAAAAGAAGACGATACACATTGAGTACAAGAGCTGTAAGTATTGCAATCGAAGAATGTGAAGTTTGTCGCAACAAAATCTGGACCTGAAGTCATTCTAACTGATAATTTTGCCGTAAAGTGGTCTGAAAAAAGTAAAAATTAAGGGACATCATTAACCATAGTTTTAAATTCATAGTCGGAATTAAAAAATGTTCTTTTCACCTTATTGCTTAAAGTACGAGTACTTACGTTGACCGGGCGGTATGGACGGAAGTGAATCTGTTCTAGGTGTAGTACAATTAACACCAGATCCTTTTCTTGTAGCATTGGTTACTAAAGTCTTATCTAGGGCAGTGAAAGCACATAAGAAATGGCCACTAAGACTTGGTAAATTATCTATTACTAAATCCAGCTGGAAGTCGAATTTACATTAGTTTTTACATTCACTGGCCTCAAAGGAGTTACTTACTGTCCTAGCTGTTGTTCTTTGTAATTGATTTGGAATGACAGAGGTAATAGTCGTACAACGACCGCTTTTGTAACTGATCCAATAGAGGGGATCTTTGGCAGCGTCTTGGCAATCTGATCTAAGGCTACACCTATATGGACAAATTGACTTGTACTTTTTAATCAAAATAGGTTTCTCCACAAAATCACAATTTATCCGGGCACACTAACTAAAATTATGTAAAATTGACTTTTCTCCCGTATACTTATAATATGTAGATACTTTCTTAAGTTCTTTTCGTACATCGATTTACGGATTACGTTACGATTAAGGAGGGGCAATTGTGCGAATATTGTTGTTTAGCGGTGCTGGCATAAGACCGACTCAATCCGATGAAATATTCAGAACCCAATCTAACCCATCTCATCAATCAATCCTCTTCAGCGTGCTACGTATATACACTTTCTTTCAGTAGCAAACAATTGTATATCTACGTAAAACTATGCTATCCGACAATTGGCGCATAAATTAAAAATGAACTTGTTTTCTATGCTGATATGCGAGTCTGTAGGTGTCGCCAAACCAAAGTTTCAGATGTAAAGAGTGGTGCATGAAAGCCCATTAAAGCAAACTGTGTTATTTTATTCGGCCCACTGCAGTTGAGCAGAATAACGCTTTAACTTGTATATTATTCGACGATAAATCCAAAACCAGATAACATTATTTCTTAGGAAGGAATTTTCTGAAATTCTAATAAATACCGTCCAAAGTGAATCAATAACTAGGAAGATATATATTAAAATGCGTCCACCTTTACAAAGGCCTGTTTACTCGCGGCGACCCGGTTCAACTTGAACCGGGAAATTATTGTCGTGCGATAAAATGAAAAGTCTTGCCTCCAGGGGTGGAAGTAGGAGGATTACCATTGAGCCAGTTAAAGCCGATAGGTACTGAATGCACGAAAATCTGATACAGTTTCATTTTGAAACGAGTTTCCTAATTGTCTTTTTGTGGTTTTACTTTAAGAGCGAACATTACAACTGATCGCTTTGTTGATACTTTGAAAAAATGTACATGTTCTAAGATATTTACAGGAAAAATTACTTACTTGTTTTCTAATGAACACCATCCGCAATATGGGTCTTTTACACCCAGACAATCCATGCAGTTCTTGTAAACAGTGCACTCTTGTACTTTGACTTTCGAAACCTGCAAAAGGTATCTAATGTTGGACCACCAAACAACAAAGTAACGAAAATGAACAAAAAATGGAAAAAGTTACTATGTGGGTTTACTCTTTAGCAAAGTAAATATAAAGAATTACGAGGCTTGGCAATTTGCAGACAATGAAACGAGTGAGACTGCCCTGTTCTAAATATGAATTAATGCGAGCAAAATATCAGCGGAAAATGTGAAGTAGCATCGATTATTTATTTGCAATGGTGGCAGGTTTTTAAACAATAGACACGTTACTTAGAAGTTTTAACCACACGAAGCCAGTTTTGAACGCCACTTGGTGCCTGAAGTTCATAAATAATTCCAGCTAAGCCTCTAGAACTGTCACAAAGTGTTTACGAAGCATTCAATGGTATCTAGAATTTTATTTCTTTAGTGTTTGATAATTTCCCCATAGTGTCGTGAAGTTTTAAGGGCGAGTTGGCTGGCAGATGTGCGGTTTGCCTTAAGATTATAGTATTAGTTCCAATAGTCGAGAAAACAAAAAGAATTTGACTTAGCAAATGATCGAAAGTAGCAAGGACCCAATCATTGACCACTACGTGAATATATGTAATTTCCTTACCTTCTTTTCAGTCATCACATATAGGTGCATTAGTTGCGAATCAAAATGGAGATCTTGATTTACCGGGGAACCCTCTTCAACAATTATGTCACCGTATTCGAGACCGGACTTTTCAGATTCTACGACAACCTATGAACAAAATAATTTAACCCAAATTAATAACAAATCCTAACAATATTGTTACATTCAGTTGAAAACATTGAATTTTGGCGCTCTTAATGTGTGCATATTTAGTCATTCATGCAGCATAGTCATTATCAATAAACAAGTAATTTTTTATTTAAACCTGACAATAAACTTTTAGGGGGCGGGTAAAAAACTGAAAATTAACAATATTTGATAAAAAAGAATAGGCTTAATAATAAAAATTTAAAGTTTTTATTATTATTATGCTTTACTGCGGGCGTAAAACTTCTATCTTCCGTCCACCTCTCAATTAGCCTAACGAACGAGTTGAAAATCGATGCACAAATGGTACACGCAATTCAACAAAAAAAGGTTTGTTAAAAAAAAATTAACAAAAACATTCGGTTCTGGAAAGCCGTTCCACTTAGCACAAAGCTAAAAGGCATAACTAATAGTTTCAATTAGTAATTTTAAATAGGTATAAAGATTTTCGGGAAATGCAATAGTCGGATTGAAAAACTCTGTGATGAAATTTCGTATTATTGACTCAATCCCTTTATAAATGCACATTGAGAGCTGCTTACGTCGGAAGTAATCTATTGAGCTCAAAAAACACAAATGTAAAATTTTTGACTTTTGACCGAAAATTTCAAAAGGGGTAATTTTTTGAAAAAATATTAATTCCCTAAAAATACTTGAAGTTCCACCTGTTTCATTTCAAGAAAGCGAGAAATGCACTGAACTTATTGAAAAACACGCTACAAGATTTAGATCCAACACAATCGACATTTTGGGCTCATCTTAAGTAGTTTTTGCGCGATCACAATCTTTAACCGACGATATCTTCCTTATTATGGATCCAAACAAGTTCCCCATATATGGAAAAAATAAGAAAAATTTCAGAAAAATAAGAAAATTTGATGAATCAGATCTGAATGCATATCGAGTTTTATATATAGGGTGATTTACGTAGACCGTGCATTACAAATTGAAGTAGAAGACTTTTTAGCATGATTGGATTGACCGTCCAATTGCGAGTTTGAGCCCTTCTTATATTAGTACCTAATTAGTTATTTTTGTATAAACTGACAATATTGCCAACTGTATGGCATAATTATCTGTTTATCTAATGCATGTGATTTTTTACAGCTTATAACAGAAATTTCCTAGTTAAAATAAAAAATCCTCCCGTTGAATCGCTGATTATATTATAAGAAGTTACCTTCTTCAAATGGCCGGTGCTGGTGCCAATAAAAACAACAGTAAAATCGCCGGTTGAAGTAGCTACAACAGCGGTTAATCTAGTGTTGAAAACAAGAACTGGAACTGCAGGAACAGCTTCCTCTCCTCCTAATGGCGTATTGACGTCTAGTCCACAAAAGTCCTCCCCAATTGATGACAGTTTCTATAAAGAACAGAATATTATGGCGGGCGTATAATAAATTTAAGAGAAATCTCAAATAATATAATCTGGTGAACAAGTGCAAATCAGTATATTTCTAATAGACAGTAAATGTGAGACGCCAGCCGTCTGCGTGGCGTATTAAAACAATTCTAACACATTCAAAGACATATCAAGAAAACCAAATTTGTGTATATACTAGTATCGAGTTTCTGATTATTGAACAATATATTAAAATAAATCAGTTGAAAACCTAACGCAGCAAGTTTATCCGAATTGCATTGTATAATATAGATGCACTATGTTGTATCGAATGTCTTGTGGGTGACAATTGTGAAAAAAGATGTTCTTTTTCAAACAGACATATTTTGAAACTTCGAGTAAAATTAAATTGTTAAACACCGTGTACAAATTGTCCTCTAAAGTTCATTCCTTAACCCTAAGAAGTTCTATTAGACGAGTTGAAATTGCCTTACAGCTGAGCTTGGCGCACTTAAGTTGGACGTTTGAGGTCAAGATATTATTGTACCAGGTGGGAGCAAAGACGAAAAGACTCTCAAGATTTATCGCCAGACATTAGATCTTTCTGATGGGTTATTTAACTTCTACGTTTAAAGTTTCACTAGTTACCTTTTATTAATTGAAGTTGTGTTCCTATGTAATATGTCTTATGCTCTTCGTCTATATATCGAGTGTGCTGCATGATCTTTTTATATTTTTTACAGTTCAGAAACGTTATTTATTTAAGTCGGTTAGCCAAAAATGATAAAACGGAATTACTGAACGATACATTTGTATAGTTTTTTTCTACTTGAAACTATTTATTTTCTTTAGATAATAAAATCGACATTATCCTGTTTGTTACACTTGTTTGATAAAAATGCCCAAGCGTGAAGCTTCATCAGCTCTATTTAATTTTGTAATAAAACTTTAATAAAAGATTGCGTCTTGTGTTTCGACTCCACTCACGTCGGCTCTATTTGTAAAATTTGTAATTTTAGAAGTACCTACAAAACTAAGAATGAGCTCCACAAAAAGAAAGTTTAAACAATAATATTTTAGTTCATTTAACGAATATTTGTGATTTCAACGAAGGTACACTTATCGATTTTATTCCTGAACATAATTGCTTATGTACCTATTTCATGAGAGTTATTTTCTCATACTGTATTAAACTTATTGATGTGTCACTTATTGCTTGAAAAATCATTGGTCCACAGCAGAACAATGTAATTAGCAGTATACATGTACTTAATTCATAGTAATTTAAATAATGATTCGTTTAGACTTTTTGACCGGAAAATGTATCATCAGAAGATAACACTTCACTAAGATAAAACGGACATTAGCCTGGAGCCTTATCGCACGCTTTCACATCGAAATAGTTTCAATACAAACAATAACATCAGATATATGGACATTCACATCGATCCATTAACATAGAACATGTTAACTCCCATTGATTTATATAATAATAATTCATTCCTTTTTAAAGTAATGAACGAATTTAATTCGAAATGAACTTAAAGCTTTCATCAAATGCCTTGTGACAAGTCGTGTATCTAGAAACTGGCTAAGCTGGTATTGCTGCCAGATTTCAAACAAATTCAGAAAATGGTTAAAGTCAAACGGGAGGCAGACAATGGAGACGGCGAATGACTATAATCACGAACATAACGGAGATTTTTATGGCTTCTCAAGTATGGGGAAAACGCCATCTTAGTTTCCATCCATATTATATTATGTGCTACGTAGGACACATACATAAGTGACAGATTCCCTTAAATTCCGCTATCTTACTGGTTATAGGAAATTTTACGCGAACTTCGTACATCCCCCATCGGTACCTATACAAATTTAAGAAAAAAAAACATCATAATGATTCTTGTAAATTATAATATTACAAGCGTATGATGTTTGATCACCCTCAATTATCATTACAAAAACTGTTAAGCGTTATTTTAATACAAATTAAATAGAAACTAGTTGGGACGAGGCTACATGTGTATTGAATTTTCATAAAAAATATGAGCCTAACGGTATTATAAGGAAATGCACCTAACTAAACAAAAATTAAGATAATATTATTAAATTTGGGAAGTATGTTCTGTTCGGGGCCAATATAAGTACCCTTACACCGGTAGCATGTTTCTGTCGAAAAGCAGTTTTGTTTTTTACTGCTCCATATAACGAGATGGGGTGAAAATATATTATACTTCTAGGGGTTACATTTAGAAAGCCCTCTAACTTCAATGGAAAAGTTTCCTCTGCAGGGTCTTGTGTACTGCGGCGCGTTAAATAAACATGAAAACATCCACTTTCAAAAATGTTCACTTCATCAATTTCTTAACTTGAAAATTTTGAAAAAAAATGATTCTTTTCTCTCAAACTCTGCTCTAAATCTGACAAATCTACAGCAGTCCGATGATGCAATTCTATTCCTTTGTTAAAGGAACCACTAAGCAGATACTGTTACAACTGTCAAATATGACAATAACGGCATAACTTAATGGCTTCCACTTACGTAAGTAAAGTGCAATGTCAACAGATAATCAAAATTAATCAATATTAATGTGATGGCCTGTTTACATTAAATCATATATGTTAAAAAAAATGGCTGCCAAACTGAACACTTTGCTTTTTAAGCAACAGAGTGAAAATACGCGACTCAATAAATAAATAACTCCAAATAAAGTTGAAAACATGAATATGCCTTTTACAGTATTAGGGTGGTTAGGTTCAGTTACATGCAAACTAAGACAGACTCTAGTTCGACTCGCTGTCACCATTCTTCTACCTTTTCCCAACTTTACTTATTTCTTATTAAGCACTGGAGACCGATCCAACACTGGCTACCGTTCCTGAATCGATCAATCTCTTTCTCGCAAACGAATCTGCAGAAACCCATTCCCACTTTCCAGCTACTTCATTTATATGATGTATTATGTGTTTCGTCTTTAATCTTCTCGTTACTATGGTGTCGGATTTTTTACATTTTTAGTTGTAGGTAAATTACTGAAAAAGCTGTTGAGTTCCTCATTTTGCAACTTGATTATGTGGTTGCATTGAACGGAGATAACTACAAATTGCTGAAAATGGCAACGATATTTTTACCTCCAAGTCCTTTGAAAGCCGTTCCTGACAGGTTTGCACAATCCTAAATAAAGTTTAATTTGCATATAAATGATGTGCTTATTCGATGTCGGAATTTCAGTTGAAGGAAAACTTAGAATTTCTAGACGTTGAGGTTTCAGTGCCTTTTTTCCACTTTTAGTGGAGACTTTCAATCAGTCAATTCTAGATACCAGACCCAAAAAAATAAATTTGAATTAAAACACTTTTTTTCCACCGAAAGGTAAGTACTTAAATCAAAATATTGATGTTCGCGTCGGAAATGTAAATTCCTGCAAATCTTCTAAAAAAGCCGTAAAATGCGAAATTTATCAATTAAATATTAATGTGGGAAGTGTGGGAAATTTGGTTAAAACGACTCATTAGATCTTACTTTCATGTTTTCACTTGCTATGTATCCCACATAAATATATTTGGGATGAGAAATACAAGACGGATGATCAATATGGATAACAAATTCAGCAGACAAGCCATTCCTTAGTCTTATTTACGTATTTTTGGGATATACGTAAACGCATTACCTATACTGCGCCTCTAAATAGATTCCGTACTGGTCTTTCGGATTAATTTCACGAATCACACCAAAATGTGAGTATACAGGTATTAAAAGGAATGACGCCAATTTTGAATCACCCTGTATGCTACCTTACACCCTAATATGGCGAGTCGTGTTATAGCATATCTTCCCTTTCGAGACTCTGACCCCAAACCAAAAGAAACTTTGGACGCAAAATTTCTCCATTGCAGGAACGGGCAAATATCTGCTTCGTCCCCCAAATTTACTGAATAAATCATAATTACTTCGTCAAATATTTAGTTATATGAAGCCGTACGAAGGAAATTTCGGGGTAGGGTGGTAACGCTTTGCCCTTTATTATAAGTGAATTTTGCCTATAAATTTGGGAACTTTTTACAGCAGCTATTCCAAAACATGGAATGCATATAACTCGATTGCATACCCTGAATAGAGAAGCACATTATTCAAATCTAGTTTGATTTTCAGTTACTAAATTTTCAAATATCAACTAAAAGCTGTTTAAATACTATTATTTTATATCGTAGGTATTTACTCTAAAAAAAATAAATGTGTAAACGCAACCAATTTAAAATATACGCTATTTTCCCATGTATTCATCTTCCATTATACTCGGTGCTATTTTCAATAAAATACTTATGCCATTTCAACCTTTCCTGCTATTTTTATTTGACTATTCCTATACTTTTTTTTGCTCTGTCGCAATAGCAAATTCGATAAAAACGTAAAGCTAAATACCTACTATTGGCATTAAAATAGCAACCAAAGTCGATTTGAATTCGGGGACATAAACAGTTTAGGGGAGAAATTGAAATCTTTTTTCTGGAATAGAAAACTGAAAAATAGAGGGAAATCTGAACTTGGCAACCTGCTCACAAGTGGTCTCATCGTGCGAAGGCTAAAGAAAGGTCACAGTTGCATCTGACCTAAGTTACCAATAGCGGCCGTTGCTCGTTGTTATCCCACAATACAAAATCGCACAAAACTAAACACGTTTTAAAGTTACATCGTGCCTTTGAAAAAGGCTTATCTGTTCAGGGTAAACTCGCAATATGGGCACTGGTAAATTATATTTTTGTACTTACAAGCTCAATCAGTATTTACTGTTATACTTCACTATTCAGCCAAGTATCTTTAAACAAACTGAGAGTTTTATTAAACACGAGTTAATCTCTTAAAATTTGTTGAACTACCTATATGTGTATATGAAAAGATGCATTTAATAATTTTTAATCTATGTGAAACAATCAAAAGTGTGCTACAAACACCAAATTTGAATGTGTGGCGAATTTGTACCGAGAGGTCTAGCCTAGTCGAAAGACATGGCTGAAGCAAA